TTCGTGAAGGTATGATCAATTGATAAGTATAGCATCACCGCTGCTAGCCACTAAAGTGATCTATAGCGATTTTTGTACAGACATAGTTATTATTAAATGAACATTATGATTATTTTTGAAATTTATCTCCTGTAAGCAAACTTGTTTTTGATAATTATCTTAAGATCATCTAACTTTGAAAATAAACCATCAATATTTCATTGAATACTATTAAGAAAATAATTTACAATAATGTAAAATAATATAAAAACACATTAAAAGAGTATTGTCGTCTTTTTAATATATTCTTAAGAACTTTCCCTAAAATATTCTCGAAAAAAATTATTATGGTAATTTACAATTATAATTGTATTTTAGGTAATACAGTAGATTCTGTGTCTCTATTTGGTTATTTTAGAGTATTATCTAAGTAAAAAAATTAAGCACTAACATAAAAGTATAACTACTTATAGTAGTACTACTTATAGAAGTATAACATTTTTGTTGTATTTCTTCTCGAAAAATTAAGTCGCTAAATGATAATGAATATTAAATCTGATAACAGAAAATCAACATATTAAGTATTAAAAAAATATTAATTGTGATGTGTAAGTAATACTATGATTATGGTTATTTTCATGATAAATTACAACATCTCATTGCACTTTTTAATATTCATATACAAGCCAATTTATATTTATACTCAATAAAGCTCGACAGACGTAGCCCCCTCCACTAAAAAAAATTTTAAACACGCGCCTGATTCATTTTATGTAATTAGTATGTCATCTTATATATATGAAATTTCAATTATTTTGATAGAACAACTCACACTTGTACTCCTACTCTTAATAATGTAATTTGTGTATATAGAATTTTATTTTATTATATATACGAATAATAGAATAATTTTATGAGTGCGTAATCATGTAGAACATAATTTTAGCCGTAAAGGTATTACCAACAAGATTTTTGAACATTTTTTGTACGACAATTCCTATAAAATCACGTAAAGGCCGTTACCAGCATCTTTGCTAAGGATAAAAACCGCCATATCCGTAGTTCAAGTAATTATATGATTATCATCGATCTAGCTCTTGCTTCTATATAAAATTGTACATATTTACCTTAGTATATAAGAGAAAAAAATAAAAAACATCCATACAAATATCCTGATCTAATACTAAACTGGTTAAACGATTATTACTAGATTTGAAAACGTGTCAACGATTAGCCTTTTGTATGATGGTAATGTTTGTTTACCTTCAAATATAACCTACAACTACCCTAAAAGGTATCATTATACTAAAATATAATTATATTAAAGTTAAATGCATAATGTCTAAAGCGTCATTTGAATATTTAAATAATTTTGAAACCAGATATTTTCATTTATAACTCACACACTTACCCTAAACTACTTAACTTCTAAATAATTCAAACATAGTGCCGCAACTACTAAGCTGGGGACTTATATGGATATTACTCCATCTTCATCTCGTCATAATATTTTGTAGCCCCTGTCTCAATGTATGAGACCGTTTGTCTTGTACTCTTTGCATATCCGGTTTTTGCAGCACACTGTAAGAAATTATCTAAAAATTCCCATTCTTCAGTATAATATTTCTAATGTACACGTTTAATTTACACATAATTAATGTAATTTTTACATGAAGTACGGTAAATTCGTACACAAATATAACATTTTTAGTACTATACATCAAAATTTTCCCTTTCATTGTATACGTTAAAAAATTTTAGTACACCCCTACTCTTCTTCTTATTTATTCTCACCTTAATCTTAAATACTTAGCGTCGACCACCCTTATCATAAATTTCCACTCGACACGATCTCCCGCATCGTTTACGCTCACATCAGCCTTCCTCATATTGTATTCAATTACATCTTTCCATCTCTTTTTTGGTTTTCTTCTACCATTTCTTCCTTCAACATTCATTTCTAAAACTGTTTTTATGGCTTCCGTTTCCTCTCTCCTCATAACATAGCCATCTATATAAGTCTATTTTCTCTCATCTTATCTACGATTGACACTACACCTATACTCCCTCTTATATGCTCGTTCCTTATCCTATCTTCTCCAGTCACTCTACTCATCCGTCTAAGCATTCTCATCTCTGCTACACTCATTCTCTGCTCTACTTTTTTATAAACCGCCCAACACTCTAAACCATATACCATAGCTGGTCTCACTACAGTCTTATAGAATTTATCTTTCAGCCTCATTGGAATTCTTTTATCGCATAACACACCAGACGCTTCACCCCACTTTAACGACCTGCACTTCATTTTGTGTCTTACATCCTCGTCAATAACACCGCTCCTTTGCACAAATGATCCTAAATACTTAAAACTTTTCACTTCTTCTATCACATCCTCGCCTATTATCTGGGGTTTTTGGTTTCTTTTTAATTATCTTCTTCATCATCAGAAAGTTGAAATGCTCTTTTAGAAGAACTTAAAATGAATACAAGAACTTGATTAATTGATTTAGGGGTAAAAATAAAAACCATTGCATACTTTTCAGTTGTTTCATCTTGTTGGATTTCATCAATATTTTGTGGTATCAGTGTGATAGAGCTGACAGATGGTTTTTCAGACTCGTCAAATAATTTGGCACCGAAATCATCCATAGTAAATCAGTTCAAGATTTATAAAAATATTATTAAAAACTAAATATATCAATGAGCAGTTACAAAAATATATCGAAACATTACTCATATTTACTCAGATTAAATAATAATATTTAATGAATTTATCTTAAATAAATGTTTAAATAAGTTATAAAACTTTATACAACATTTTAAACTTAATTTGTTTTACAAACAAGCTAAATAACAGAAATTTGAATAGCATTAAAAAGACTACCAAGATCACAAGAGAATTTATTACTTACAAATTAATACAGCAATATTTTCTATATTAGGTTATGTTGTTGTTCACATTTAATTTTTTAATAAAATGCCCGCATTTTATTTGAGATTTTAACATAACATAACAAATTATACCTCATATAATCTTTGATAATACTGTAGCATGAAAGTAGCATTCTAGATATCACTATGATAGTATGATAGAAATGGGCTATTTTCAAAAGTGAATAGATTATACATAAATGAAAATATCGTTCATAAAAATCGGGCAAAATGAATCTATTTTAAATTTTTTTTTATTATATTTATACATTAATATGTAAGAACAGTTATAGAAATGAAAGTTGAAGGAAGAAAAGGTAGAGAAAGACCAAAAATGAGATGGAGAGGTGTTATTGAATGATATATGAGGACAGCTGATGTGAACGTTGAGGATGTGTGGGATCGTATCAAGTGGAAGTTTAAGATAAGGGTGGCCGACCCCAAGTAGTTGGGATTAAGGCGAAGAAGAAGAAGAAAATGAGGAGGAAAACTGGTTATAATTTCTTGAAAAACTGCTAATACATTAAAAATGTATAAATTATAAAATTAGTTTATACTCAATGTTTATATAAATATGCAAAAGTATTAATTTTGAGTATACATACGATCTTACAATAATTGTGAAAATTTGACTGTAAATGTAGTGAAAATTTTTAACAAATAGATGTATCAGAAATCTTTGATATTAGTGACAAAAGTTTTAAATTTGTATTAAAATTTTGGCACTCTTATGTTAAAATATCACAAATGTAAAATTAGTGTGTGTATTAAAAATATCATACTTTCGTATGGGAACTTTCGGATTATTTCTTATAGTGTAGTAATATCTATATTGGTGTTCCTTACACACATACGGAACTATAGTCTGAACTGACTCGACTATGATACAAGTTTTTGAGCCCCTATTAATATATAAATTTGTTTTTTTTAACACTACGTGAGAGTTTATAAATGTTAGATTTTTTAAAGGATAATGCTGACTGGTTGTCAACCTTTAATGACTCAAAACTTAACAAAATCCGAGCCCTACTGATAAATATTTTAAGTAAATTTTATTCTTAAGGCACCTCCCACTACTCCAGAAAATTGTTGAAAAATCGCCATTGTTTAAAAGTTATTATATATCCAAGCAAAATAATTGAATACAATTTACTTTATCAGATTCGTGTCAAGTAGAAATTTAGGATAAGGGTTCCTGACCCCAAGTTGTTAAGATAATGGTGAGGAAAAAGAAGAAGATTTTACTTTATCATATACACAACTTAATATACTATAAATCTAACCAAATCCAACAGAGTTAATAATTTATTATAATAGACTTCACAAACATTGATGACTGCCTTGAACTCTATTGTGTTACTATTCATTACAATAGTATAATAATTAAGACTAACTTACAAAAAATTTTACAAATAAATTCATAAAAAATCGTCTTGATTTTTTATCAAATTATTATCAATATTGTTCTATGATTTTCTCGTTTTTAATTTTACTCATTTCAATAATTATATGGTTACTATATCTTTTTATATTGATTCTAAAGTAATACTTTTCGTGTAAAACATTTACCGTACCGGCGCAGTTGGATATTCCTAATTTTAAAAACGGAAAAAAATACAAAAGATGAACCTAGAGACATTTACTAGATTTTACTGATTTTATGATATAAAGTCGTTAATATATAATGAAAATTTGAGCATTATACAAAATGTGCTACGCGACAAAAACTACAATTCACTACAATATTTAATAAAATATACTTTCATCCAAGTAACGAATAAATAAATTATCAAACTTAACTAAATAAAACACCCAATTTTTTTTTTTTTAATTCATGGTAATAATAATTTAATGTAAATAATACAAGTGAGGAATTATTGTTCATCGTAAGCCGCCGAATGTACTTCTAAATTTGAAACTTAAATAAATATTTCAAAAAGTAGGACAAAATATTTTTACTTTTATTCTTGCAGATGTTTTACTTTTGTTAACATTTACACTCATAAACCAATAAGAATAAACTTCCATGATTGCATAACGTTTGTTTTTTTTATTATGATTCCTGTTAATCCTTGGTTTTATTTCAGGAAATAAACTATGACTCAGCCAGAGGAGGCGTAAGTGTCATTACAGAAAAAGGTGAAGTAACCACCAGTTATCTGTTAGTTCAAAGAGCAACCAACACAGATTCTGGAAAATACACGTGTCATCCAAGTAATGCGAATCCTCATACTGTCGTAGTACATGTTCTCAATGGTGTGTACTTAAAAATAATAATTATTAAAATAAATTTGATTGAAAATATTATATAAAGTAATAAAAAACAAAAATAGATAAATCAATTTAACTTAAAATTAATAAACATTTCAACGTATCCATAACAATAATAATACTAAGTAAGAATAATTTTGTCAAAAACACCTAAATTTAAAAACAATATATACTTGAAACTTATCATAGTCAATATTGGTTTCTTTATTGATAACCATTGATTTTAGTACAAATTAAAATATTATTATAATTTATTTTCACTATGTTATGCATCGAGCTCGAATTCTTATGTGTAATTTATCACATTAAAAATAAATAAAACAAATTCAAATCATAACTGTTTAAAATCGAACTCCTTTATAATACCCTTACATTAAACCTGGTAAATTGAATAGTATATCTAAGTTCCAATTTTCTACCATATAAAATCATATTATATTATTATTAATATGTATAGTATACAGACACACATTTATAATATATATTTATTTTCAAACCAAGCCTAATATTTTGTCTTCGATTTACTTCAAAATTCGAACAGTTTGTCATATCACTGAATATTAAATAGCTTAATAAAATTATAACATTCTTTTAAACTGAATATTTAATTTAAGGACCTAACTTCTTTAAATATGCAAACTAAATCAAACAATTATAAGCTTGAATAATAAATATAACGAATATATTTACTATTGAAATAAAATAATTATTTAAATTTTCATAATTTTAAAACAAAATTAATACATTTTCCCATCAATTCGTGTATACGAATTCTTTAAATGTTTTAAGATTAAATTTTGAAAAACCATAATTTTAAAATATAAAATTATAGTTATATTATTTCATATATTAAAAATTATATTATTAAGTTGCCATCTAATACATAAACAGGGTGATTGATTTATTATTTATCACTAAATTTCTCCTAAAATTAGAGACGACCCGCGGGGGCAGTTGCTCAGGACCTCATGGTTCTGAAATCGTAACTTTACTGAACTCTATTTTATTTACTAATATAAAAACACGGATTACAATATTATGTATATGTTACGGCTTAAGTCCGAAATCGGCTAATATGCAAATTAACTGCTAACATTCAGTTCAAAATTGCAATTACTTTTGTATAGGAATAATGATTTCAAAAAATTCTATACTTATATTTATTGTATTTTTATTAATTATTGAGTATTTGAATATTAATATGTTGAAGGAATCAGCAGAGTGTCCAGGGAGGGTTAGAAGGTCACAATTCCCTCTCCTACCGAAATAATTAGCAATGTTTGAATTTTTAGTCGAGAAATAATAAAAAATATAAAAAAAAAGATCATAAAAAATATTTTAAGACAATAACGTCTTCTAGCTCCTAAAAATAATTTTTACTGTAAAGCCCCATATAATATGTAATTTTAATTTATTTTGATCAAGACCTCTCGTAAGTTTGAACCGACAAAGCATAAAATAATATTAATTTTGAAAAAATTATTTTTGATATTATTTAGTATTATTTATTGCTTAATTCATAAATAGTTAAATATTTTTTAGTTCAATTCCTTATCCTATATAAAGGCATCAACTTTATTTTGATAGATGCTGTAATATATTAAATATTAAAAAATAATCTAACTGAGAAAAAGAAAAATTAAGTTGTTATCCTTATAGATGATAAAGGATGGATCTAAAAAGTATTTGACCACTTATAAATCAAGAAATAAATACTACTTGATTAACCAAAAAAAAAAAATTTTTCAGAATTACTGTTTTTTTAAAGAAATCTAGTCTTCAATGATAAATCAATCAACGTGTATATATAATAAATAATATATTAAGTTAGATCCCAATATTTCAGTTAAGTATTTTAAATACATTTAAATTTTTAAAGACACCTTAATACAGAAACAAAGATGAGTTTAAGAAGAGAGCATATGACCAATCCCAATTCACATTTAAAAAATTGCTTAATAGAAATATTCTTTTATTTTAATTGAAGGATTGACGTTGTAAAAATAAAATGTATGTACTAGATAGAAATTTATATAGTATTTAAAATTTGTTTAACATATTTCAAGATTGAATTATAATACTCATTATAATTATTCTTCCCATTTTAGAATAATTCATTATTTTATTTATAGGAGAACATCCAGCAGCAATGCAAAAAGGATCAAAGCTCAGTTTAAAATCGTCACTATCAATTTTTAGCGTTTGCCTTGTGTTATTTATTAGTACGTGATTTATAAATTAATGCATCATAAATGTTTTAAATAAAATATACAAAATAATACTCATATTATTAGACACAAATTTGTAATTATTAGTTATCGGAAATATATGTATATACTATATAAATATATGTACAAAAAATTAAATGATTTTTTTGTATGTTTAACTTTGGGGATTTATTTTGTTTTATGCTATTTAAATACTAAATTTTTTAGAACTAAAACAACAATTCAAACCCAGAAGATGATTCATTAGTTTGGTTAAACCTATTAACATTATATTGATTGTTATAACCATTTAATATTACACAATCTCAAGTAATTCTTAATAATAGATTATTCAAATAAAAAATTTATATCATAATAAAACAAAGACAATTGCTTTTTTAATATATTTATCACAGTAACTTAATTATTGAAAGAATTTGGAGTTGAGATATTCTTTTAAAACTTTCAATTATGTGATGGAAATGCTTTTTTTTATTTGGAGAAGGTGAATTTTTGTAAACAAGTCGTGGCATCAAAACCAAACGGTTTTATGTGAATATTTTATTTTATAATTTTACAAGAAAACGTTTCTTAAATTATTTTGATTAACTTTAATTAATTTCTACATCGACATTGTCATAATTGTGTACAGCTTTATTATTTAAAATAAAATATGTATCTAAACTTGTTTGGAGAAAAATGTTCAATGATCTTTTTATATATTATACTAATTAAATGTAAAACCTGATACCCATGAGCTGATTGTTTGATCTAAAAGCAAAATATGATAGATGATTTAATCATCTCGTCAGTTTTAATTTTGTTTTAAATTGTTCTATTTTCTTATATAATTATACTAAGTTTTGAATAATAATTAAATAAAATGTATTTTAAATAAATTTGTAAATATTATATTATATTTGTTTTATCTACAAATTTTATGTTAAAAATTACCAAACAAAATCTGTATATTATATTCACATTTCATTACGATATACTTTTATAATAAATTGTTATTATACCAAAAGAGTATATTATTTTTGTTAAATTATTACTTATGTAAAGCAAAGGGAAACAAAATTTCTAATAAATAAATAGTTTAACTTCAAAATAATTACTTGTACTACCTTTTTATCACTTTAAAAACATTAAATTTTTCTTGTATTGTTGAAGTTCAATTTTCTAAAAAAAATCATTTTTGTTAAACAATAAATGAGGAACTAATTAGAAGTATAAAATAAAAACATTTATTGAATTTATAAATATATTATTATTAGTAAACTTAAACCATTTACATATAATACAAGTTATATGAAATTGTACAATGTTCTAACTTGTATTATAAATTAATATTGCTCCTTTCAATTTAATAATTTGCTAACTCAATTTACTAAAATATAAACGACACAAAATTTTTTATAGCAACTTATAAATCACTTATATTTATCTTTACATAGGTATATACAAAATAAATGAATACTACATAACTTATTTCTTTAAACAAATGTAATTGTATTCAAATAAAAAAAAATTCATTGATAATACCAGAGTAATAGACTGAATAATAATTTTTACTATACATTTTTTTACTTATAGAAAAATACTCAATTATACCTATTACATTAACAAAAAACCTAAATTGATTGTAAACATAAAAAACTTTTTTTTTAACGTTATTGTAATTTAAAGGAATGAATAATGATAAATTCGAACAAGTGTTATTACCATTTACTAAAGCTTGTTCCAGTGTCGTAGTAAAGAGGATTTGGGTTCTAACTACCCTCCAAATTTCTAAAAAAAATAATCTTTTATAAAATAAGACTTATTTTAAACTATATGATCGATATTTCTTTTTATGCCAACTTCCTACCCTTGAAATAAAACTGCCTTTAGGCTTATTCCTAGTATAATTCATTAATAATAAATTATAATCTATAGTTTCACATTTGGATCTTTAAATTATTATTTGTACTTGTTTTTCAGAACTAAAGATAATTATAAAAATTAATTATCATACATTTCACAATTTGAAATGTGATATTACTTATTTCGTTAGTTACATTATTCCTTGTAAATTATTTTTTCGTTATTATTTACTAAACTACTTATTGTTATTTTTTATGATTTTATTAGACAATTTAAATGATACATTAAGTTAACAATTGTACCTTGTTTTTTAATCGATTTATTTAAAAAAATATATATGTTACCTTTTATTATTATTATTATTATTATTATTATTATTATTATTATTATTATTATCATAGTTCAATATTGAATAAAATGTCATTAAATTTATTATAATAATTTGTACATTATCTTGTTTAAATTTCATTTATAAGAATAAAACCTAAAATAATATCTTTATCAATATTGAAAAATGTAAATAAAAAATATTTTCATGGTACCATCTGCAAGTATTTACGGAATATCAGTAAATATTGTAAAAATATAAAAATACGTATATATGATCAACTACTTTAGCAATTGAAATTATAATATTTATTATTAATAATATTACAAAATGATTCAAAAATTTTAAGTTATAAGTATCGTAAAATATTTGAGTATACAAATATGTTTATTTTGAAAGTATTTTAGCGGTATTTTAAATACTATTTTTTTGTACTCGATACTATTTTAGTAAATACTTTTTCAATTCCTTAAATTTTAATTCGCTTAAGTTTTTTATTTAAAATTTAATTTAAAATATCGTACGATAGGATCTCTTACACGTCTTAGGACGTTACAATGATCACAATGTTTCTAAATTTATCATTCATGGACTTATATTCACCTAAATCTTATGGTTTTCCACAAACAAATAATCGACTATCGTACCTACCACACGAACACTGATTGGTTTTATAGTTATATGCTTTGTTACTAATTAATTGTCAACATATTGTTCTATTTTTGTAGTTACGAAAATATTGACATGAACTTAATCGTATATTGTGTTTGGGTACAAGTTAGTCCAAATCATAAAAAACTTAACTAAAATTAATTTGTTTTTCAATTTTATTCTATTTTAGTTAAGCTATACTTGTCAAAAAAAAAAATTGAATTTCATACATTTTTGGCCTATTTATTAACTTTTAAAAGTACATGATTAAGTATTAATACATAAAAATATATATAAATATGTTTAATTAAAAAACTTAAAAAATAATTTTGAACTAAAAAGTAAACATATTAAATATACACGTAAAAAGAACATTGAAAGACTTGAAGTTTAACGTTATAGTAGAAAAAGAAAATTTGCTATAATACTCCTAATTGTAAAAGCTTGTTTTTAAAATTAAAATTCAGCACAAAATCTGCTCTCATAGTGGCAGGCAAATAGTCACAGATTATAGATAATAGTCAATTGAATATGTTTTTTAGCTACAAAATTTGATAATGAATCGGACAGTATTATTAAAACAAAAAATATAAATATATCAAAAATAAATGTTCATTTATTTACTATGCATACATTTTTTACACGAATATTTTATTAGATACCAACTACTAATAATTTACCAAATTTTGATATAATGTTTGTTCAATTTCGAATCCCTCTAACTCCCTATAAAAGTAAAATATCAAAAAAATACTATTAGATTTAATTTTAATGGTCTAAAAATATATAACCAAAATATTACACAAAATATCACACCCAAAACCAAATTTTGAACCCACCTGACCTCCTCTATTATTATATTATAATAAGAATTGTCCACTTGTAACTAATAATATTTAAAATTAAAAATACATTTTAAATATTAATTTAAAACTAAAAATTTAAAAAAATATTTAACTCAAAAGCTTATTAAGAAATAGCGAATATGCATTTTGGGAAGAATTACCACTACCAACACTAAAGACATACTGACACCCTAATAAAAAACTCCTTTATATACCACTAGTAACCTTATCACCTAGTGACGTTATCTTTATGTGATGTTAATACCTAGTCGGTTGTCACATTAAGGCAGTTTACCACAAGTTCAATAAAAAAAATGTTAGTAGACTAAAATCTCAATTTATTTAATTTTTCTTATTTTTAAACATTTCTATTTTCTCCTTTATATTAAGTTCTTTGTAATTATTAACGTTTTTAATTAATTAGTTTTTTAGTTTTAATATAGTAATTATATGACAATAAACGTTCAGATTTTTTCCTTCTTGATTTTTAATGTTTCCTTAGTAATATTTAAACCTGACTTCTATGTTTCTTTTTGTTTGTCCTATGTAACATTTGTTACAACTTTTACATTGTATTTTATAAATGCCCGATTTCCCCCTTTCTTCTACTTTATATTTAGGGTTACCTAATAAATATCTTAAATTATTACTCTTACATGTTATTAAAGTAACATCTGTATCATCCGAAATTCGTATCCACGATATTTTTGTGATTTTGAGTTAATTATTTTTTAGTTTTAAGTTCCTATCTTTAGTAATCTTAAGATAATTATTATTTAATTTGTATGAACTCAAATTTACAGTTCATATTAAAAATAATTATAACTTAAAACTATTATAAAACAACAGCTTTAATGTCGACATGATGAATTGATATGTTTTACATTAATTTAAGTCCGTCTCACTGAAAATTACCTTATTATAGTTGCCATTGTACTGTTGTTTTGACATTCATTTGTGAAAAATCATTTGTAATTTATCATACTTTATTTTTATTGTTACTTTCTAAATCTAGAACTTTAGAGATCTAGCTGTGAATCATTACTTACCGCGGGCCGCCTAATGCCATTTATTGAAATAATTTATTAACAAGTAACTGTTTAATTGATAGATTAGAATTTTTTTCAATTTTTGAGGGTAATATCTTCAACTAATTGTAATCATTTGACGTATCGTTGAAAAAAGTAGGTCAAGTTAGAGCAGAGAAAATAATTGATAGTCACAAAAAAAATCCTTCTCAGCTTTGCATCGAAGCTATAACCTAAAATATAGTAAAATAATATTAACATGAATAAGAAATTTCTTCTCGCAAGGGGAGACTATAATGATGGGATCCTTGATATTTATTGAAGTTATTGAATCTAAATGAGTTAAAAATCAAATGATTTGAAAATTTTTTTCTAACTCAAAAAAAATGCAAAATATTAATTGCCACAGGCGGATGTGAAACTCTACCCTTAGCGTAAAAGACACAAGTGTTACCGATTCGGCAACTGTCTGTCGCTTTCGTCGTATGATAAAATTAGCAATTTAAGCTAATTCAAATTTAAAAGTTACTTTTTCAACTTTATAAAAGCAAAAAAATTTAATTCAGTTCAATTTCTTATGTCTTATGAACTTTATTCTATGTCAATTAAATTATATAATATTCATGAAAGTTAGTATATTCCCCTTGTAAGATATTTTAAAATAATAAAATAAAATACAAAACCCAGAATTTTAACACAAAAATAGCATATTTTTTATTTTTCACAGTATGAAAAATTCATCCCGATAGTGAAGATGAAAGTATTTTTTTTTTTTAATTATAGGTACTATCCATCTTTTATAATACTGTAATAATTAGTATACTTTATACGAAAACAATTTGTTTTTAACCAACCAATGGTAAAATTTTGAACTTGTAAGATTCATAGTATGGGATACTGTCTAAGGATGAGTGGAGGGAGCCCCCCCCACAAGCTTTTCATAGGAAACAAATTATGGAAAATGATACAAGGGACCAAAATTGTTGGCCCCTCCAATAAACATTTTCTGGCGACGTGCCTGTCCTTGATGTTCTCTAGTTTACGTTTAGTTTCCTCTTCCTCCTCTACCGTAATTTTAGAGTTAAAATTAACACCCATGAACACCTGTTCTACACTTTCATTTTGATAGGGCTAAGCATTTAATGAATTACTAATATATTTATATCAATGATTTCAACTACTCATAAGCTTATTATTTTAAAACGATCAATACTTTTCAAGTAATTAAAATCTATGACAGGGGTTAATAAAATTGACCTTTTCGATGTCTTTATCTAAGCTATTCAAATAAATTGCACTCAGGTAGAAATAATTTGAACATCGATATAAGAATTGCAAGTGTCACAAAACATACGGGAGTTAAGATTTTTTCTTATTTATTTTTTACTGTGTTATATTAAATTGCTAATTGCACTACTATGTTTCATACTGTTCTACGCTATTTTACTCTACCCAGTAACTACTGCACTACTGCGTTTTAAAACATTGTGTGGGGTTTAAAATGCTTATTTAGCTGGTTAAAATATAATTTTGAAAAAAATTGTAATTAATTTGCAATTATGTTTCAATATATATTATTAATTATAAAATTTCAAACCTCTAAGTCAAATTTTTATCTGCGTAGATCTAGCTTGCAAATAACGTACTCTTAATTTTTGTGTAAATAAATTACCATTTTTATAATTTAATTTAATAAAATTTATAATTAATTTTTTTTTTTTTTGAAATTAAGTACAATTTTAATGTAATATTATCACAAAATTTATAAATTTATAGTGCATGATTTTTAAATTGTGTTAAAAGAAATCTTTAAATAGACTATCAGTTGACTAGTAAATTTTTTTAACATTTCTTATTTAATTTTACAGTACTTTTAGTTTGATAAGAAATTATAGTGAATTATAGTAAACCTTGTATGTACAAATCTTATATAATTAAACCAGAGAGAAGAGAAATATATTCTGTGAATAAACCATGGTAGCAAATAACTACCAGTTGATTTTATGAATTCAATATCACGATAAACACTATCAATATTTTAATGCCGACAAGCTAACTTAACTTTTTTCGTAAAAACCTAATGGCATGGAATATGTGGCTGTGAGATTAAGTATTGATTTTGAATGTTAAAAAAAAATTTAATGTGTATATATTAAATACTTTAAAAATGGAAAAAGTATTTATTTTTATTTTTATTATTTCTTATTCGTTTTATGAAATCCAAAGCGTAAATGTTGTACGCCCAAGAGGTATTGCATTTGAAAGTAAGAAAGATGTATCTTTTTATTTTTACTGATAACTGTAAATAATTGTAATATTATTTATTCAATTAAAGATTAAAATTGTGCCAATCTTCAAAACATATCTTTCTTACAGATTGTTTTTTTTAAATAAAAAGAAAAATGTTGGTTTATGTAATATATTATATTTTTATTTTTTCATGTTATTCAAGAGTTAAATATGCGTTTCCTATTTAAAATTAATTAGTTTTGCTGGGCATAATTTTTTAATTTATGAATAAAAATTTAGTATCTATATTAATTATATTAAATAGTGAGTTTAGATTAAATGTTAAATTTATGCAAATGAAATATATTTTAATAAATATATATGTATAATTATACATACTTATGATTTGTTATGTTTTATTAATAATTTTATTTTATTTTTTATAGGAGCTTCTCTGTATATTCCTGATAAAGATTTTGCATGCTTAGATGGAAGCTTTGTTATACCATTTTCATTTGTAAATGATGATTACTGTGATTGTCCGGATGCAAGTGATGAACCAGGCACATCAGCATGCCCTAATGGCACATTCCATTGTACTAATGCTGGTCATAGGTCACTTACTATACCATCATCAAGAGTAAATGATGGAATTTGTGGCAAGTCAAAAATTTATATGTTTTAAATAATCCAAAGATAAACTAATTATTGATATTTCAAATCAATCTATTTAACTCAAGTATTAATTAATAAAATAATAATAATAATAAGTTAAATGTAAAACACCTGTGAAATATATTTGTATCTATTGAAAATAAGTGTGCACATTATTCCATAATGTAAAAGTATAATGATTTGATACCTCTCTACTATAATTTAACAAATTCCAGCATTTAGTAAATTTAATACAACTTAAAATACGAGATGAATTTTTTTTTTTTTTGTTAGAAACATTTATATTAATAACACTTTTTCCTGAATCTTATAATAGCTGGTTTTGATTTTTAAAATTAATTTTATTTTATAATAGATTATAAGTAACTTATAAAAAATTTAATTTTTAAATATCTAAGCTTAATTTTCAGACTGTTGTGATGGTTCAGATGAATGGGGTACCACTAAAAACATAAGTCCTTGTATAAATACTTGTGAAGAACTTGGACGTGCAGCAAGAGAAGAAGCTGAAAGAGTTCAACAAATGATTGTTGCTGGAAATGAAATACGTGAACAGTTTATTTTAAAAGCTAAAGAACAAAAAACAGAAAAACAAGTTGGTTTAAATAATTAAAAGATCTCAAATTTATATCTTTTATGAAATTTCATAACAATATCTATTTGATATATATTAGCACGATCCTGTACTATATCAAATACCTAAACATTAATTTTATCATTTAGAACAGTATTATTCAACCTTTTTACTGCAACAATCCCCTTATTGAATTTTCAAAAACATTTTAATGTTACATTAATACTTCTAATTTTATAACTTAATAAAATTATAAAAAAAACTCACAATTATAATAACATAACATTAAATAATCTTGGTTTTAAATTTTGTTTATAGAAAAGAATTTCTGAACTTATGAACCAAAAAATCGAAGCTGAAAGTATTAAAAATGAAACAATGGTTGTTAAAGAAAAAGCTGAAGAACTAGAAAAATCTGTTTTAGAAAAATATCGGATAATTGCCGATGAAAAAAGGAAACAACAAGAAGAACTACAAAAGGTGAAAGATCAAAATGAAGCATATGAAGCATTTCATGATATTGATACTAATAAAAACAACATGTCAGTATGATTATATATTTTAATTATTAGATTAAATGAAGAGTAGAAATGGCAAACCTCTCTAAGCGCTAACAAATGAGAAAGTGTATTATTTTTAAAAAAATTGTCTTTTGTCATTCATAACTTTATTTTTGTTTAAATACTTAGTTTTTTTTTATTGTTAAACTAAATTATTAATATTATTTTTTTTTTTTTTTGCTCAGAAAATTTGATATTTTCATTTTTTAAATAATGAGACAAATTTTATTAAAAGTATTCTTTTGTATGTTTTAATTATTTTTGTTTCACCTAGAATTGAAGAAAATGAAATAGAAGGCTATAGCACATTTGACCAAAATAAAGATGGTATGGTTTCTGAAGATGAAAAAGATGTAGGTCTAAAATTATTTTGATATATTTAACACATGGGCTGAAAAGTTCAGGGCCTAACACATAAAGGGCGCTAGTTTTTTGGAATTAATCTCATTTTTAGTTGGTACTATTCTACAAAAGACAGCTGTTAAAATTTCATGACAATCTGTTCATTAGTGTGTGATCTAATGGGCCAAGAGTGAAGCTACTATTGTAATTTTCAAAAATGGATCAAAAACAATTTCGTGTGTTAATTTTACATTGCTTCTTGATGGGAAAAAATACCGTTCAAGCAAAGAAATGGCTTGAAAAGTGTTATGGGGACTCTGCTCCATCAGATACAACAATAAAACGTTGATATGCTGAATTCAAACGTGGTCATAGAGACACAGATGATGCAGAACGCAGTGGATGTTCAAATGAGGCAGTAACCCCAGAAAATATTGAAAAAATCCACAAAATTGTGTTTGAATGATCATAAAATGAAGTTGTGTGAGTTAGCTGACATAAAGATATCAAATGAATGTGTTGGCTTTATATTGCATGAGAAAGCTCTGTTCAAAGTAGGTGCCGCGTTTGCTCACTGTTGAGCAAAAACAACAACGTGTTGATGATTCTAAGCAGTGTTTGGTCATGTTCAAAGGTAATAAACCGGAATTTTTGTGTCGTTACATCACTATGGACGAAACATGGATCCATCATTTCACTCCAGAATCAAAGCGATCTTCATCTAAGTAAACAGCAGCTGGGGAATCTTGTCCAAAGCGCCCAAAAGCACAACAGTCAGCTGGAAAGGTAATGGCCTCTGTATTTTAGGATAAGCAAGGTAAAATATTCATCGACTACCTTGAAAAGGGAAATACCATTAACAGTCAATATTATATAGCGTTATTGGACCGTTTAAAGGCTGAAAATATAAATAAATGACCGTATATAGCAAAAAAAAAATTTGTTTCATCAAGACAACACACCATGTCACAAATCAAAAAACACAATGGAAAAACTACATGAATTAAAGATTGAATTGCTTCCTCATCCACCATAATCTCCAGATTTGGCTCCCAGCGATTTCTGGCTATTTGTAAATTTAAAAAAAATACTTGCCGGCTAGAAATTTTACTCGAATAAAGAGGTTATCAGTGAAACTGAGGCAAAAGATAAATCATTCTACAAGAACGGCATTCAAATGTTAGAACGGCGCTGGAATGATTGTGTTGCTCGTGGTGGAGATTATGTTGATGAATAAAGTCAATTTTGAATGAAATAACCGTGTTTTCTTTGTTAGGCCTGGGACTTTTCAGCCCATGTGTTATATGATAATTCAATTTTTAATTATTTATCATTAATAAGAAAAATTAAACATTTAAAATAATTAACTCAATTAAATTGATAATTTATGGATTTGCTGCAACAGGATAAGACCACTTTGGAAAAATTTTTAATAGAAACAAAAAAAAGTATTTTCAAATTGAATGTAGCAAAAGTTTCTTTTTTATATAATTCGATGAAAAACAATTGTACATGTTATTTATTGTGCCTCTTCATAAAGTAGTTTTTATTGTATAATATACTATCAATAAATAAGTTATAAAAGAAAAAAAAAGTAGACTAAAGTTGTTGTTACAGCATGTGCTTCAATTAACTAAATATTGTTAGCATTATATTTATCTGTTTGCATAATTTAACTGAAATAAAATTTATTTTTAGTATTTTATGGAAACTAAAAAGGAAATGAATTTGGATGAGTTTATGTTAAATGGTTGGAGTCGTCTTAAACAATTACTTTTGACTGAAAATGTTGAAACTGAAACAACAGAAGATACTATTGAAAAAGATGGGGATGGTCAATTTGAGGAAATAGAACAAAGTGATGACCACCCAGATGACGATATTGAGCATTTAGATTCTGCTGATGCGGTTGATGAATCTCAATATGATGAAGAAACTCAGTTAATAGTTGAAGGTAATTAAGATTTTAAAATTTGTATATTGGAGGTACTTTAAATGCAAATGGTATACACCAGAATTTATCATAACACTTTCTATTACCTCAATTAAATAATAAAATCAATTTATTAATTTTAAATGTTGAATTTATTTATTTAACCAAATAAAATAATCATTATTAAATAATGGATTCACAAAATTTTAATTTTAAAAATGTTTGATTTTAAAAAAATTTTAGAAGCCAAAAGAGCTCGTGAATCATTTGAAGAAGCTGATAGAAAGTTTAGAGATATTGAACGAAAAATATCTCACTTGCATGATTCATTATCAAAAGATTATGGAATAGATGATGAATATGCTACATTGGATGGAGAATGTTATGAACTCTCTGACCATGAATATGTTTATAAATTGTGTTTGTTTGATCAAGTATGTTTTTTTTTAATATTAAGTATATAGTATAGTAAACCACTAAATCACTGCCCTTAATGGTGACATTCAGCGGTGTTATGGCTATTGAACCCTGCCAACAGCTGATGGAAAGTGATCCTTGTATTCTTGAGTACAAATCCATCTATAATAAGACTAGTGATGGGAAATATTGAGTAGTAACTATAGAACTATTCAATAACTATTTGAATAGTTTTAACAATTTTTTTAAGTTTTTAAACCTTTCTAAGGTTTTTATAATATTGATAGTTTATGCTAAAAATAAACTATTAGGTTTTATAAAATATATTCAATAGTTATTTAAAACTCTTAAATACTTTTTAATAGATTTATATATTTGATAATATCCATCACAAAATGAGACACAAAAATAATAGTATATTAAATAACAAAAATAATTTTTAAAAACATTAATATATTTAATAGATTACTCAGAGATCCAAAAATGGGGGCTCAGAAATAAGACTGGGTACATGGAATAGTTGGATTGGCGAACCAAAATATCGCACCATGTTATATGATAGAGGTCAATCATGCTGGAATGGCCCCCCTCGTTCAACTCATGTAAGATAAATAAACTTATTTCAGTGATGAAAAATAGTTTTTTAATTTTTAGTATTAACAACAGGTACGTTTGAGCTGTGGTTTAGAAGCTGCTCTAATATCAGCATCAGAACCTAACCGTTGTGAATATGTCATGGACTTTATTGTTCCAGCTGCTTGTGTTCAATTCAATGAGAAAACATCTACTTCTGAGCGTGGTCATGATGAGTTATAGAACCAATCCATTGTAACTACTTATTTAAAAAATGAATATTTGTATATTATTGTATTTTTATTATTCATGGTCTAACATGATGTTTACTATATTTTGTTCGGTGAATAATAAGTGTTCTTTATTACTAAACTTTAAAAATGGTATTATATTGAAGATCATTTTTAAAATCAAGAAAATGGTATCAGTTCTAGTTATGTAATATAGAAAAAAAAATTATCATATGTAAAAGAACTATTTCATTGTTAATTTATTAAATACATTGAATTTTCTCATTTATTAATTAAACATTTTTTAAGTCAATATTTTAAATTAAATATAAAAGTTTAATAAAAACTACCAATTTCAAATGACTTAAATTTTACATTTTATAATCAGCTAAAAAGATGTTAATCTTAATATTAGAGCAAGATTAATAATGGTTTGGAATTATTACCACAAAGGATTTTGAGAATAATAATAAATTATTCACTAGTGATGGTCACTACTGTACTATTTTATGTCTTATACAATCGTCTGCTGAATTATTGATCATCAAACTGTTGCTTTGAATGATATGATTAACATTTAGCATAATATGTGGGTTAATAAACTAATAAAACAATAAACTGCTTTTCTGAATTAAAATTAGCATAACTGCTAATTAAAAAATAAACGGCAATTTTCTGAAACGTCTGAATGAAAACTACCAAATTTTTTTCCGAGTTATATAGTTCCAGTTAAAAAAAAAAAAAAAATTATGGGCCTGTTAAACAAAACATTTTAGGGGACTATCTTGTTATGTCAAATAATAATTACTATTTCTCAATTGATACATTAAAATTTTTTTATCTAATATATAATACCAAAAATATAGTGGCGTAATTGCAAGAGATTCTGGACACCCCCTTACACATTTACATAAAATTATGGTAGTTAAGGAAATTAGATAGGTTAAGCTCCTGTAAGAAACGTCAATATCTATCCTATAGTAAATTTCTAAATACGAAACTGCGGAAAAGGACTGATTTAGTAATTGCTTAGGGACCCTGAGAATCCGAGTTAGGTATAGCCACTAGTTGGACCTATGGACTGATCAGCAGTGAGCATTAACCAACCCAAATATTACAGAAAATTTGTTGCCCTGAATTACATGCCAATGTCTCTGTTACAATTAATTTACATCATTAATACTTTACATCTGAGCCAGGCAAACTCAATTTCATTAACAGGAGAGGTGATTTAATAATTTATAAAAATATATAACCAACTATATCGCCCCGAGGTCCATCTTGAATTTTATTAGCCAAGTCTAAATTATTGACTAGTATACTAGTTATTTTCACTTATTTTGCTTATCACTTTTTTTATGGCAGTGAAATTTTCAATCTCAAAGTACCACCCTAGAATCCATATAGATCTTACTAAAAATATGTATAACACAAACTTGTTAAAAATAACTTTAAGTACAAAATTTTTATTAATTTTTTCATGACTTCATAATTTGGTGAATTGACACATCATTTTTGATTGAAATATATAATCCTTCTACATTATTTCTTATCCTATCAGTTTTACTTCATAAAATTACCAAATTTCAGTTGTACTTTAAGGTAACGCTAAAATTTTCATCATAATTTATAGAATCAAAAATTAAGTTTACCATAATATATGAGTGTATATCCAAATATTTCTTTTCGAAGTACTGTAATTAGTAAGTGAAATGGTTTAACAGGATGAACAACATATTTTTTTATTTTGGTCAAAAGTAGTTGTAAATATTAAAAAAAAAGATATATAAACATTTAATATTAATAATAAGATAAAAAATATATATAAATATTGCATTTTAGTGACTTCAAATGATAATTTAATAAAAATGAAAACAAAATAATAATGTACTAAAACAGCTCATTATTATGATCAAAATAGAATGATCGATAATTTGTTTATTTGATGTTTAACAACAAATGCAAATACCTATTGACTAAAAAATAAAAATAATAATAATAATAGTTATAATAATAATAATAATAATAATAATAATAATATAATAATAATAATAATAAATTGTAGTAAAAGCCTATGCACAAATCAATAGCTCCTATGAATACTGGAAGCACGATTTTGAAAAATATAAATGGGGCAGGAAATTGTTTTAGATAATTGAATAACATTATAAATATATATATTTTTATTTTATTAGTAATGTGATAGTAAAAATAGCAATAATGAAAATGGATTTCAAAACAAGATGTCAGTTTGTTGAAGGGGTACACAGTATATTCTTTGAATGTCAATCCTAATGATCAGATTCCAAATTATTTTATTTTTATCATTCAAAGAAATATAATCAATACATGCAATACATATAACGATATTTTAAATTATGAAAACACACTTTTTATTGTTCAAGTGTGTTGTCATATTTCATATGATACTAATAAACATATCATATTCATTTGATGATTTTTATTAATTATAATTAAATTTAAATAAAAAATTCCGCTCTTTAGTTTATTTAGAATAGGTAACAATGCTTGCGTTTTCTTCTGGGTTTAGCTTTGCGTTTTTCTCTCAACCTTTGTTCTTTCTAAAATAACAATTATAAATAAATAAGTTATCATAAGTTTGTTTTTATAACTTACATCTTTCCTAATTTCTCTGACAAGAGTATAAAATGCATCATCAACACCTTGTCTAGTTTTTGCAGACGTTTCAATGAATGGCACACCATATTGTTTTGCTAAATCAGATGCTGCTTTAACATCTATCGCTCTACTTTGAAGATCACATTTATTACCCACCACTAAAAAAAACAGAATTTTTTTATTTAAATAATCATAAAAAAAAAAAGTTTTTAGTAAATTAAAAATATTTATTTTTAAAAAAAATTATTATTTATTACACATTAATAAATAATAAAAAATGTATTAATACATTATTTTAATAACAGAAATAAAAAAGTAAAAAGAAATATAGAAGAACATATTTCAGTAAGTTTTTATTATTAAATTAATCCTGATTATAATTTTAGTATTAATAAATACAGTAAAACTTTATTAAGAAACTCCTTCTCTTAACATATGTTAATAATAATAATTTAAAAGTAATCAAATTTTTTATAATGTAATAGGTTTTATCAGTAATCCAAGAAACTACCAACAGAATAGTTGGCAAGACTATATCTATCTTGAGAACTAAGTTTTCCTATTTAACTTCTATATCATTACAAAAACTACCAAGAGAGAATTATATTAATACATAATACTCTTGGTTTAAAATAACAATATTACAGTTTATTAATGATAATAAATAACTGTACAACCTATCTGGATAGCTAGAGATATTGTTAACCTACATAGAAAGTTGAATATGATACACATACACTATGACATTCAAGTTAATTTGTATAAAGCATTATAGATTCTTCACAAGTTAATTGTAGATGCTAAAATAGTTACAAAGATGGTAAAAAGTATCAACTGGCACTTAGGCTGATCATAAATTAGTTTGTTGACAAATTGTGTGTATTGTTATAACACATAACATAATACGTGTTATGTATACAATTTCATTTTCCATATATCATTTTAATATATGCAAAGTTTCTCCTTTCATTAGTAAAAATTGACCCAAATAACATTGTAGTTCTGTATTAAAATTCAAATATAATTTTTTTTAACATTTAATAAACAACATTCACAAGAATTTTAGAGAATAAATAGATTAACAGAATGAAATCAGGCACCATAACACGTAATCTTATATTTAATAAACACAACATGTTAGTGTTTTCAACTTATTTAACATTATTATAAATTTTTATTTCTTTAATGAAAAACTACTTTTAATAATATAAAAAGGACTACTCTTATGAGCATAGATGATGTGGGAGATCGAGTCAAGTGAAAGTTAAGTATAAGGGTGACCAACCCCTAGTGGTTGGGATTAGAGCAAGAAAAAATAAAAAAATAAGATAATTCATTAATTTTTAAATATGAATAAAAAGTTTATTGAGGAATAAAAAAATGAATTAATTAAAATTTTAAAAAACTTAATTTAATACAATATTTTAATTAAAGGTTTCATAAGAATTTTAGGATTTGTACCAAAAAATTTAGAAATAGCATAAATTTGTATTTTAGTTCTCAAGACAAATAACTAACACCATTTTTGAAAACCATATAAATTTTTAACCAATATTTATTATAAGTTTTCTTTGATAAAACAATAAAATTAATTAATTAATTAGTAAAAATAATTATATTGTGTATAACTTAAAGGATTAAAAACATAATTAAACAAAAAACTAATTTACAAAATACATTTAATACTTACAAACCATGGGGACATCCTCTGCATCTTTCACTCTTTTTATCTGTTCCCTGTAATTACTAATGTCTTCAAATGATTTTGTATTATTTATAGCAAATACTAGAAGAAAACCTTCACCAGTTCTCATATACTGATCTCGCATAGCACTAATCAACATAATTATGACTCAAATTATTCAGAACAAATTTAAATGAATATAAATTTTTTAGTATTTAAAAATAATTACCTATATTCTTCTTGACCAGCTGTATCTAAAATATCTAGTAAACAAGTTTCTCCATCAATTACTACTTGTTTTCGATATGAATCCTCTAAAATATAAAAAACAACCTAATGAAATTTATCATCTTCAAATTAAACTGTTTATTAATATAATATATGAAAACAATTATTTCTATTTGAGAAATAGTGAACATAAATTTACTGAAAAGTTTAACAAAATAAACAAGAAGTACAATACTTTAAAACTATACCATATAAATAATTAAACTGTTAAAAATTTTTATATTGAAATAAGAAAACCAAAAAAGATTTATTAATAATAGTAAATCATTAAAAATTAAAAAATATTCAACTATACTTTGGAATTACATATATATATATATTTTAATACAAATGAGAAATTATTTACCAATTGTGGGATCATATTCATCCACAAAACTGCAAAATAAAATTAAAATAATTAAAATTCAATTTTATTGAAAGTAGATGACTTATACTTACTGATTTTGAATTAACTGTATTGTTAAGGCACTTTTACCGACGCCGCCAGCTGTAAACATAAATATAAATTATTATATAAAACTACTATTCAATATTAATAAAATCACTTCTGACGTAATTGTGTAAATTTGTAACTAAATATAAGACGTCTTTATTTTACTCACACATCTTCATCTACAGGGCAATTCATTTACTATAAACCACTTAATAATCAAAAATTAAAAATAATATTGATAATTTTTTTTATTGGTTTCTTTTATTTCAATGTTATTATCAATTTATCAATCATGAAGCAATTTTTATGTTAATCCTTATACCTTATAAGTTGGTAACGGAATTATATACACTTATAAAATATATTTAGTTATTCCAAACACACCATTAGCTAATACAAATTATTATTGATCTGAAAACTTAGTTGAGTGTTGTTACACAGGTATAGTTTTAAGGAGATTTCTGTTTTTCTCCTAAATAGATATAAAAAAGTTTATAACTTCCAAAATACTGGTCCAAAAGTAATTTTCTTTATAAGATCATTATCTAATAAAAATAATGTTAATTACATACTTTGCTATTGGAAAAATTAAAATTAATACCCTCATTAAACAAAAGGATGACACACAAAAATTTCTTCACAATTGATAAATTGAGAAAAACATAGAACTACAAAAAACAATAAAAAAATTATTCATATTATTCTTATTTTTAGATTAATTAAATTAATCAAAAAGCTATGATCTCATAAACTACAATTTAGATGCTTAAGAAAAGAAAATATTACTATGAATTACTTAATAAGGGCGAACGCTCATATTAGATGAGGTAATCTAATAAATTGAAATAAAGTCAAGAGTGTCATATCATATGTACTTACCACCGACGACGACCAGTTTGTATTCAGTCATTTTAAATATATCAGCGTCGTTTACGACGTCTGTTGAGTTTCGTCAGCACAAAACAAAGGGCGCAATGTTATACCGGTTAGATTATACGTTTAATCGGTAACGGACTAGAAATCGAAATCGTACTGCTAACACTAGCGAATCACGTCTTTTTTACACACACCGACGTATGTCGTAAAGCTACACAATTATCAAAAACCAATAAAATAATATAAAGATACATACATGTACAATAAAAAAGAGCTTAAATTTTTTTCTTCTTTTTCTTTTCTTTTTTTATTATTCTCTAAAAGGGGCGTGACATTTATTTATTTATTTTTTGTTTACAGCACAGCCATCTTTTGTACGGCGCATGCAGCCTGACCAACTGTCTGTAACAATTACAATATGTAACCATCTACTTACCCTGCCGTATTATCAAAAGCATACCACCATTTTAATAGACATTAATATTAACAGAATGGAAATAAACCACTACAATATATTTAATCTAAAATTGATGTGTTTAGGAAAATATTTTAAAAAAAATGATAGATTTAAGAACTTTTGCTTTTATCTGCCAAATTACTAATGTAGGGGTTTCTATCAATTAGTTTTACTATCAATTCATAGTACTACGTGCAACACTGTCCAAATGGTTAACTAAGTAATGATAATTTTCAACTTTTTTTCTCTCTATAAAGATATTAGTCAACTCAAGGCGATAATTAAAATTCCCTAATATATATGATATGATATATCAAATTTAATAAATAATTTTTTTATGTATGTTAGTCTATTACTATTAACCTCATAATAATAACTATTTAATCATATTTAAATTGATTTTATCTTTTCAAGTATACCAAAATATATTCTTCATAATTTTTAATATATTTAATTTATATGATAATATTTTAAATATATTTTTCAAATGATTATGAGCCATACAAGTTAAAAGTTGTGATATTTTATAATTCTATTAAAATTGATATTTGAATTTTTATTTAAGCCTTAAAAATGGGTGGGCCAAAAGAAGGTGTGCAAAAACAAATTCAGCAAGATTGGGCTAATCGAGAGTACATAGAAGTTATTACTGGTAGCATAAAAAAAATTACAGACTTTCTCAACTCATTTGGTACGTTTGTTATATTATATTAATTATACGAATAGTTGTGCTAAGAAAACATTCTTAATTTTACTATTCTTAGTCTATTTTTACAAAAATAATATAACATTTTATAATTTAATACTAGTTTTGAAATATTTGAAATTATTATGTTGACTGATATTTGCTTATATTGAACTAAATCTAAATAATTGAATATAAATAAGGTACTAAGTTCAAAAAAATAAATCAAATCATAGTACTTTCCCGTGTGTAGTGCCTTAATTATGTATGCACAATATAATAAATTTAAACACAATTAATATTTGTAATTTGAAAATAATAAAGNTATGTATGCACAATATAATAAATTTAAACACAATTAATATTTGTAATTTGAAAATAATAAAGTATATCCCTTTTGAACTTAAAGTCATTTTTAAAAGAAATTATTTTTCATAAAGATGTAAATGGCTATGTTTTGTTATTGTAATTCATAATAAAAAATATTATTTTTATCTTTGCTTTGATATCTTATATATTGTTTTAAAATTAAAAATATAAATGTATAATTTTATTTACAATTTATTTCCAAAAAATATTAAAGAATAACTTTCCTCATTGATTATAAAATGTGTATATTTAAAAAAAATTATAATTATTACAATTATTTTTAATTAATTTTTTCCATTGCATCTAGAATCTAATTTTAATTAATTAAATTGATTTTATAATGTTTGGGTGAAGTAGATTATTTATTTAACAATATTTAAAATGTATTTAGTCAGTTTATGTTACTATGAATGCTAACCATGGCAACCAAAATTATTTAATTATTAAATCAATATTTATGATTATATTTAGTTATTATAGTTTTATTTAGTTCTTTGTCTAACATTCTTTTAGAATTTTGTACCTATTTTAATAGTATGAAAGTTACATATTGTACTGATGTAGATAGATCTGTTGTGTTGAGTAATTTTGAAAAGAGAGGTTGGTTACATGTTGGCCCAGATGATGATTGGAATTTTTATTGGGCTGGTATACAAACATGTCGTAGCTTATTTAGTATTGATAGTGGTTATCGTATGCATGACAATCAACTGATCAATCATTTTCCTAATCATTATGAATTAAGCCGTAAAGATATGCTCGTTAAAAATATTAAACGCTATAGAAGAGAACTAGAACGAGAAGGAAATCTTTTAGCTCAAAAATTAGATGGAAAATATCTATATCTAGATTTTATTCCAGTAACTTTTGTATTACCTGCTGATTATAACTTATTTGTTGAAGAATACCGTAAATCAGGGCCAAGTACTTGGATAATGAAACCTGTTGGAAAATCTCAAGGAACTGGTATTTTTCTTATAAATAAATTATCCAAATTAAAAAAGTGGTCCAGAGAAGGAAAAAACAACAATTTCAATGCATCAACGATTAAAGAATCTTATGTCATTTCAAAATACATTGATAATCCTCTATTGATAGGTGGTAAAAAATTTGATCTGCGTTTGTATGTTTTGGTAACTTCTTTTAGACCTTTAAAAGCATATTTGTTTAAATCTGGATTTTGCCGTTTTTGTACAGTAAAATATAATACAAGTGTTGGAGAAATTGAAAATTTATTTATTCATTTAACAAATGTTTCAGTTCAGAAGCAAGGAGAAGAGTACAATAGTATACATGGTGGTAAATTAAGTATTCAAAATTTAAGACTATTCTTAGAAAGTACCAGAGGTAAAACCATTACAGAAGCCCTTTTTGATAATATTGTATGGCTTATTGTACATTCATTAAAATCAGTTAGTTCTGTTATGGCAAATGATCGTCATTGCTTTGAGTGTTATGGTTATGATATTATAATAGATAATAATTTAAAACCTTGGCTAATTGAAGTAAATGCTTCACCTTCATTAACATCAACCACAGTAAATGATAGAATTTTAAAATATAAATTAATTGATAACACATTAAGTGTAGTTTTACCCCCTAATGGGATTCCTGATATACATTGGGATAAATGCCCTTCTTTAGAAGCTATGGGTAACTTTGAGCTCTTAATTGATGAGGATTTAATTATTAAAGAAAAATATTCAACAAATAAATTTGATCATAAAGACAAATCAAAACGTAAAAACTGAAATAATATGTTCTCAGTCATTATGTATTTGGTATAAATATATTTCTATATAAATATACATATATATTAAAAATAATAAATGGATATATATCATTTTCTAAATAAAGAAAATAACTAATTTCAAAAAAAATATTGGTAGATATGTCTTGTAGATCCAGATTAGCAATCCTGAATGAAAAATTAACAACATTAGAGAGAAGAATTGAATATTTAGAAGCTCGAGTAAGTAAAAAATTAAAATGTAAAAATCTAATTAAAAGCCTATTTTGAAAACTGATCCAATTTTATCACAGAAAAAAGAAGTTAGAGTAAATTTTTTTTTTCAGGTTACCAAGGGAGAAACCCTCTCGTAGACTTAAAATTTGTGAAATTTCTTTATACATTTATATTTATTTAATTGTAAAGTATCATTAATAAATTTAAGAGTAATTTATTATTTTTGCTGTATTATTTCAACTTTTTTGTTTAAAATTTTAAAATGTACAAAATAATTTTTAAATAATTTCAAAATTAATTTCCTTTAATATTTATAATATTTATTTAATAATTATATTAATATATTATTTTATAAATTATTTAGTGTTAATTTATTTCATTTACACTTCTCAGAGGTAGATGATAAATCAAAACAATGTTTATTTATATTTTTTATTATATTCAATAACTATTAATTAGTATAAAATAAACATATAAAATACATATATCAAAATAAGTGTAATATTATGTAATGGATACTAAAAATAAATTATCTAAACTAATCACAATTTTATTTAGTCATTAATAACTATTATAAGTTATACATTACTTTAAATAATATGAGCTTATAATATATTTGCCTTTATAACAAAATCCTAAGCCACTCAAAATTAATAATAAATGCATTTTTATTTCTAATAAATTCAGTGTTATAAATAGCTTATATTTATTTTATTTTATCTAATATTAATTCTTTACCAATATATATATATATTTCATTTCATTTTGTAGAAATTTATGTGTTAAATGTGGTACTCATTATGTTTAATAAATATTAATAAGAGTATAAAGTTAATTAATTATTTTTATTTTAAAATTATTACATTTTTATTAAACATTAAGTCCGTGTTATATTGATTATACCACTATTAAAATGTTAGTGTAAAATAAAAAAATGACCAATATACATTTTCAATCAAATAATAAATACTTCAAGTGTCGATTAATTATTTTAATAGTGAGAAAAAAGGAGTTTTTAATCAAAAATCTGTGAATCAATTGAAGTAAAAGCTTTATTGAGTTATAATAAATAATTTTTCTATTAAAACATTTTACGCATTATTATTAAACTAGTATTAAATAATTTTTTTTAATTATTAAATTAAAGAAAAACCAAAGAAGGTACATTACAGGAACCAAAAAATTATTATTATATGCCAGTAATAAATGTAAGTTTAAAAAAACAGAAACAATTAGAAACTGTATATTTAATAGTGTTATTCAAATTAAAATATAACTCAATACTTAGGTATATTATAACATAGTATAGAATATTTAATTAATTTTCTACACATTTAATTATGTTAACAATTTTTTCATTATATGAATTTTTCTAAGTAGTATATTTAATAAAACTTTCCAAAAAGAAAATATTTTAACACATTTATCTCATTGAAAATATATAAGGACTTTAATTTACAAGACTAGTATCAACACAAAATGATATCAGATTAAAATTACACTAAATTCATGAATTTTAGTTGATCAAATAAAAGTACCTAGTCAACTAATACCAATGTAAATGAAGATAAAAATTAATCTATCACATTAACATTTCCATAAAATATAAAGCCATTAGAATAAAAATTTTAATTTTTTTACAAAAATACAAATATTCCACACTATCAAATAACTATTTCACTATAAAAATTAACCAATATGTCTTGTAGTACGATTTAAATTTGTTTTATATTCCACAGTAAGGGTATTTTATTTTATTAAAATCTAGAGTGTGGCACTGGATTTCTTAATATAAGAGCACTTTCAGCTGACATAATAGGTAACTTATTTTCACTATGATAATTTACTAAATGACTTACACTTTCAAAAATACGATCTTTTGTTCGTACTGTTCCTTCTGGATCAATTAAAAGTAAATGCTTTTTGACATCCCCCTGTAAACCTGTCAACACATATTGACCTGGAGATCCTTGCGATTCTCTAACTAAAAAATCGCCATCCTAAATCCCAAATTATATTTGTAATTATTTTGGATTAAAATAAAATGATTAAATTGATCATTTTCTTTTACACACATGTTTTAATATAGCTTCAGCATGTTGTCTAGTAATACTTCCATGAAACCAAATTTCATCTTGCAATTTTGGAATCATAACTGATACTGACTCATTGTCTACAAAAGGTTCTAAAAAAAATATAATTACTTTATCAACATTTTTAGATGATAATAAATTGTTCATAATATTTTTTATAAAAACACTTAATATTAGAAATTAAATTTTCAGTTAAAGCTTTACATATAGCTTATTTAAATAAAAAGATTCATAAAAAGCTTACGCATATCAAAAACATCTCGTGGTTGTGAATTTTGATTTTTATTGCCCACAACAAAATCATTGACATAATTATGAGCAGGATATGGCACAGGAGGTGGAGGCGTTTCACAGTTTAAATCAATTAAATTGTTTGATACAAGTCTCTCTATAATACTTTGTAAATATAAATTATATGTACCTATTAGTATTAAATTTTCAACTACCTCTATTACGATGTTCATGATTTGAAGGAAGAGGTGGAACAGGAGGTGGACCAGAATCTGGAGGTGATTTTCCAGGAAGATCATTGTAATACTCGCGTTCATCACGAGTATTAAAATTTAAAACAGGAGCAGGTTTTGTTAAAAATTGTTTAAAACGCAAATCAAATGCTTGTCCTATAGTCGTGATTACATCTTGAGCTAATTCTCCTTCACCACATTCTAGCACATAACAAGCACGCCAGTCTTTTGTATCTTTTGCAACAAATGCAACAAAGTCTATAGTATCCTAAAATAAAAAAATTTATTTTTTATATTTTTTCAAATAAAATATTAAATAAATCAGTGTTTTCAATAAATCATACACAGAGAAAATTTTCCTTTTTAATAAATATTGGAGTGAAACTAAATATTTTCTCAACTTTAAAGTTCCAAATAAGTCATAAAGTGTGTTTATATATAAGAAAATTGTGTTTTTAATACTATTTTTTGGCTATGAGGGTTTGACTCTTATATCCATCTTGATTTTATCAAAAAATATGTAAAAAATGTTTGAGATATAAAGGTAGTACTTAGATACAAAAAAATTAAAAACCAATAACGATTTAAAAAAATAAGTGAATAATAAAGATTTAATTCATACAGTATCTCCTCCTGAAGCAAATGATATTCTGGGCATATCATGAGTTGAGATTACAGCTTGAGTATCTCTTAGCTTTAATGTTAAGCAGGTACTTGATATAGACAAAGTTACATTTGATCCTGCATGGTCCATAATTGGATGATCACCAATAAGTCTTAGCACTTTTTTGTCTACCTGAAAAAAATAGGTTTATGATTTAAATGTATTTGATAAAAATACAATTACACAAAAATACTAACCTTTCTTTTCTTATCGGCAGTTTTCAAACCAGCTGTTTCACAAACTTTATTAATGCATTCTCTATGTAAACAATTATATTTTTAGGTCAATAATTTAAAATATTGTCACATTAAAATCACAAACCTAAGATAATTTTGAGAAAAAACTTACTTAGCAACTAAAAATCTAGTATCAAAGTCTAAACTCTTCATGGATGTTAAAACTTCAAGACATCCAATATACTAAAACAATAACAGTATTGATAAATATAAACAAAATTATAACATAATATTTTTAATAGCTTTTTGAAAGTATAAGGTACAAATAGAATTTAAAATAAATCTTAAACTTAGTAGTCTAATTTTTATAATACATAATCATATAAAATAATTAATCAAATTAACTACTGTCTAGCTTTATATATTAAATACAAAAATTAACAAGTCATTACCCGAACTTCATAACAAACACTGCTTCTAGTAATAACATTATCCGGATGTAACCATCCTCTGGATGGTTGATTCATAAAACTACCCCACGAGTCAGGCATATTAAGTGGCAAATGATATCTCACTCTGAATTCCTGCAATTAAAAGTATGATACTAAACATAAATGACTGATAAAATATTAAGTTATACTCATAAAAACTATAACACAAATTTTTACATTACCTAACTTTTTTTCAATTAAATAATGGGTGATTTTTATTGTTCATAATAAAGACATACAATATTATAAAAAGAAATAAAATTTACAGTATGAAAACAAACTAAGTTTATAAAATGTTTTAATATACTCTTAACTTATTAAAATTTTTGTTTGAGTTTTGACATTTTTTTCAAGAGGTTTTTCATCAACTTTATTAAATACGAATGCTTACAGAATAGCACAAATATTTAATGACCCCGTTATCAGCAATTCATTTTTTTATAATAACATAAACCATGGTCTTTTTCTAAGATAAGATCATATCTATTCTGTATATTAACTATTCAAAACCTCAATTGTTATCTTTAAAAGTTTAAATATATATACAATTATCTACTAAGCATTATTTTCTAAAGTTTTGAACTCTTGTTATAACTAAAACTTATGCAATATCCTTCAAATTAAACTTTTTTCATTAATTCAAAATTAGTTTCATCTTAACTATTTATAATATTTTGCATAACTCTTATCATTTTATAATTATTTTATTAGTGATTTTAATAGTATTCTAGTTAAAGAATTTTAAATATTTGTTTTATCAATGAAATGAAATTAACTAATTTCTTCATTTTAATAGATAATTATAAATGTACATTATTAACATATTTTTTTTGGCTTATGTAGTGATAACTTCATATAAATATTTTAGTGTGAGTTTAATATGCTTTTTAAACAAAATAATTTATTTAAATTTATAATTAAATCTGTAAATTTCTATGAAAAAATATCTAATGTAAATACTCTAGCATCCAGCAGCTATAAAGGTTCATTTCATGAATGGATATTAAAATTCTTCAGAACACAACCACGTTACAAAAAATTTTTACTAGACCGTGATGTAGATGTTACTCATTTAGTCAAAAATTTAATCAGTCTTAAAGCTATTTCAACTAATGAACTTCTTATTAATTTTTCTTCCTTAAATACATTACCAATTATTAATGAAGTCGATAGAGAACTTGAAAGTCGTGTAAATACCATGAATATTGATCAAATGATAACTTTAATGGATACTTGTTTAGCTTCAAAAAACAAACTATTTAAAAAATCTAGAGCTTTTAAAAAATGTCTTGAAACTATGGATGAAAAATGGTTTAGAAAACCTGATTTAAATTGTTATCAAACAATGCAATTAATTTATTATGTTAGTTTTTTTAAAAAGAAAGCAACAAATGTTGTTACTTATGGTTTAAAAAAAATTGCAAATGACTTCAACTACTTGAAAAAATTTAGTGATGAAGAAATGAGTATATTAGCAATAACAACTTATAAAACTGGAGCTAAAGTAAATGATAAACTTTTAAGAATAATAGTATCTAAATTGGAAAAAAATCTAAATAATTTGATACAAACACCAATACTTTTTGTATCATTACTTAAACCTCTTAAAAAAGCAAAGTACCATGATCCTGTTTTAATTTCTAAACTAATTCAAACTATTAAATTTGATAACAATTTAGTAATAAAAGATGTGACAAGCTCTATTCATTTTCTTTCCTATTTAGCTGATGCTAACTGTGGTGATATTCAGTATTTACAACAACTAATAGATTTGATTGGAAATATAATGGTAAACTATTTTAATTTATCAATTTGTTAATTGTACTATCTAAATTATTTTTGATGTATCCTTATTTTGGCTTATGTTTCAAAGTCATTGATCAATCTATTCTAGGAGCCACAACCATTGGCAGATATTTAGTATAATTTGAGTGAAACTAGAAAGTAGAGTGACCAGGAAGATTTATACTTGATAATTATTGTACAAAAAATTATTTATTTAGAGGATTAAGTCTCCATAAAGATTGTTTGTGATGATAACCACTATAATGACTATGAAAACTAAAGGTTGTGAGTTTAATATATTTCAAATTGATAAAAAGGCTTTTTTTCCAAACTTGCTTGATCATAATAAAGAAATATCAGCCAAAACAAGAAATATTCGTTTATCTAAAAATAATTTAAACAACATAATTCATAAAAATTTTCAATTTCAACATAATTAATAAATCATTAATTTCAGGTTCAAGATAATCTCAAAAACTATCGAATTAAAGACGTAACTTCTTTTTTATTTTCAATTAGCTATTTGGGTCTTTCTGTAAATAATACTTCACTTAAAACTACTATTACTAATTTTTTAAATTATATATTTAATTCCAAAGAAAATTGTATTAAACATTCAAAAATGTTTATTAGTATTAATCTCTCTTTATGGATGCTTAATTGGGAAAATATATATCTTACTAAACTTATTGCTATGGAAATTCCAATTTCTTCATTAAGATGTAAGATTTTTTTGTATAATTAACCAATTTTAGTAAAAAAAAATTAATTTTGGTTTTATTAAATTTGTAGCACAAGATGTACATAAACAAAATTATAGACTTGATCTTTTATTGACTTGTATATCAATTGAGAGGCCAGAATTAATAGAAAAACATTCATTAAATCAAACTATAAATACAATGCCACAGTTTGACCGCCATCTTGATGAAAGGCCATTTCTACAAAAAGTTTTTAAAAACTTGAAAGAATTGTCTAGAAAACACAATTTGTTTAGTGTTGAATACAATTTTTGCATACCTAATATCAAAATATTGAACATAAAAGTAGTAGATAACAATAGGTATACCAATTTTTTTAATTTTTATTTCATTATAATTGCCTTAAAAGTTATTCATAGATATAAATTTAGAGGGAAACAAAAGATGGGTTTCTCCATTGATATTAAAATGCTAATGAGCATTTAAATGCTCATTGTTCATTTAACATGTTCTTTTAACTTTTTCTTTTGCTCATATACAACTTTAAATAAGCAAAAAAAAATGTCATAGTTGCCTGTCAATTGATACATTTTATTCATGCCCTCCTCTATTATAAATTATAAACACAACCCCTCGAAATTAATGTGATGATATTATTTTTCAATGAAGATTGGACTATTAGTTGGATTTTGCACAAAAAAAAAAGAAAAGTTAAATCAAAACATTTACCATAAAATAATTTTTCCCCGTCCAATTTGTTTTTAAATATGTTTCTTATAAACTACTAAAATATTCTTATAGTAATTTTATTGCTGTAATACAATAAAATTAATAGGCCTTTTAACAATTTTTGCCCATATTTTTTCTTTTAATTCTTTTCTAATAGATATTTTTGAAAAAAATGCATAAAATTAATTCAACTTTAAAAAAAAAATTGGTTGTTCTTATTTATTAAGTTATTTCTAATTTTGAGTATTATGTCCAAAATTGTTATATTAGTAAAAACAGTATATTTTTTCTAGAATTATTTTTTATTTTGAAGTATTAGACAACACTACTTGTCTTCATAACACTGCAGTTCCTCATGGAATGATGAAATTAAAGCTTCGATTAGAATCAAAATTAAATTATAGAATTATTTCAGTAAGATAATTTTATTGCTCTCAGAAAATATGTTAATAAATTATTTGCTAATTTTTTCAGATAAACGAAATCAACAATATTTTGCTTAGTTCAAAATCTTTGAAACAATATTTAGATTTTTTACTTTCATGAGAACTAAATATTACTTGGTTAATATATTAATAAGCATAATAGAATTTTTTAATTATATAATATTTATTTAACAATTAAACTAGTTATTAAAAATTGTTGTATGTGTATATAAATACATTTTAATTTATCTTCTTTACATATTCTTCTTTATAAATAGCTGATTTTGAACAGAATAACAGATTCCATATTTAGATGATTTTAATTTTCTTTAAATTTAATAAACAATGAATCAAAGTTGATATTTTTTTACTATTATGATCATCAATCTATAATTGGAACAAATAAGATCCTTCATTTGTTTGAAAACTTTTATATGACATAAATAATAACTATTGGTTTTTGCTTATTAAATGTTTCAGTGTGGATTATTCTTTCATTGGTTCTTTTAAAAAAAGTATTAAACCTCAGAGAAACAAAATTTCTTGTTGAAAAATAATGTCTGTTGAGAGTTTTTATAAACAAAATTTCAGTATTCCCAAGACAGGAATAAAACTAGTAGTATTTTGGAGTACTAGAATTCAGTATCGTGATTTTTTTTAACACATCAGAAAATCATTACTATAGATGAGGGTGACTTTAACATAAGGAGTTAAAATCCTACAGCTTCCTTCTTGGAACATATTTATTATACCGAATAACATTTAAAAATCATCAGATTGGATTTAGTTTCATATAAAAAATTCAAAAAGGTTGCCGTCCGATCAAACATTATTTCTCAGTACCCCTTTAAGAGAAATTCATATATAAAATTAAATAAATTCTAAAATTCTGTATGTAACTATATGATTTATATCCAACTATGTATTTAATTCAGAGCTTTTATAAAACATAATTTTTCTATGACGTGATCAAAAATTTGTATATACAATTTTTTATATAATAAAACGAGGCATAATAAAGGGTGGTGGGTGGAATAGATTACCCGAACAAAATTTATTACATGGTGATTTAATTTCTTAATTAAAACAAATTTGTATTGTTAATAAAAGTATGTACTTTCAAAGTATTTAATTATTACTCATACATCAAAGGCTATACCAGAATTATTTAGTAAAATATCAATAATTAATAATTTATTATAATGAATAATAAAAATTAATCACTCTTGGCTAATATTATTTAAAATTAAAACTATATTTAAATATTAATTTAAAACTAAAAACCCAGCACAGGTGGGTCGCGGCACAGTGGTGACGTGGCATAGTTGGATTAAGTATAATGATATCTGACAGTAATTAAAATCACTATCAAAAATAAACGCTTCGATGCAAATCTTTAGATAGTGTTTAATTTAAAAAAAATTGGTGTTTTATTCCAAAAGCTACTTGATCTGCTGGTTCCTTATTAATATCTCGATTAAGATAAAGTATGTCGAATGAAAAAGGGTTTATTAAAAAATATTATTTCTCATAAAAAAATTGTGTGGATCCATAAACTTTTCAATAAGTTATAGCATTATAAAGTTAAATATAATATAAATAATAAAATCGAGAATTTTCACACGAAAATAGCATTCGGTAGCCATTTTCGCCGTGAAGACAAGTCCAGAGGTCAAATTTTTTTTTTTCAAATTAAAGTATATTACATTAGCTTTAATTTAAGATATATATAAAAGTGTCAGACCTTCCGGAACATTTTCAAAAGTTAAGTTGAAAAAGTTAATTTTTTGTGAAAAAGTTGTCATTTTAAATCCCCCCCTGTGGGCAGATAAAGTGTCAGATTTACAAAAAAAATATACCAAATGATAAGTAAAGACATCAAACATCTATATAAAAAAGAATTATATTGATATGTTCATTTTTGAAAAAGTTAGAGCATTATTAAGTTAAAAATATAAAAAAAAATTATTTTACAAAAATCGTAATTTTTTATTAACTTTGATGTCAACTTTCACCACGAAGACAAGTCCAGAGGTCAAATTTTTTTTTTTCAAATTAAAGTATATTACATAAGCTTTAATTTAAGATATATATAAAAGTGTCAGACCTTCCGGAACATTTTCAAAAGTTAAGTTGAAAAAGTTAATTTTTTGTGAAAAAGTTGTCATTTTAAATCCCCCCCTGTGGGCAGAAAAAAGGTCAAATTTACAAAAAAAATATACCAAATGATAGGTAAAGACATCAAGCATCTATATAAAAAAAAATTATATTGATATGTTCATTTTTGAAAAAGTTACGGCAGTTTTTAGTAAAAAAAATTGAAAAAATTTCGAAAATTAGCGATTTTTAAATTTGTAATTTTTTTGGAGGTTTCCCCCATTTACGGGGAACGAGGGAAATTTTATCAATTTTGAAGGGTAATGTCTTCGACTAGATACGATTTGTGATCTTTTGACGTATCGTTAAAAGAAATCCGTTCGGTGAGAGCTGAGAANGGAAATTTTTTCAATTTTGAAGGGTAATGTCTTCTACTAGATACGATTTGTGATCTTTTGACATATCGTTGAAAGAAACCGTTCGGTGAGAGCTGAGAAAAAGTGGTAACAGACACAAAAAAAAAAAAAAAAACACATAGTAAAACCAATACCTTCTCAGCTTCGCATCGAAGCTAAAAATATTTAACTCAAAAAGCCAAAAAAATATATCTAATAAATCGCAAATACGTATTTCAGGAACAATGTTACAATTATTAAGGATAAACAAATGCTGATACTCAAACCAGGAAAAAAAAGCCCCTAAATATACCGTTAGTGACGTTATTACTAAATAATATTATCTCATTTTACCAGTTTAAATGGGTATAATAATGAATTTTTCAGTGAGCCAAGATCCCAATTAATTATATTATTCCTATTTTTAAACATTTCTATTGTCTCCCTTATGTTAAGTTCTTTGAAACTATTTACGTTTTTAATTAGTTTTATAGTTTTAAAAGAGTGATTATGTTTCGATAAATGTTTAGATCTCCTTCTTGATTTTAAATTTTTCTTAAGTATTCTTTAAACTTGACTACTGTGTTTCTTTTTGTTTCATTAATCATTGTTGTAACATTTATTACAACTTTCACATTGTATTTATTTTGTTCAATTCCTGATTTCCCTCTTCTACTTTATCTTTAGGGTTACCTAATAAATCTCTTAAATTATCACTTTAAGATGTTACTAAAGTAATACAAAAATTCTAACTAATCCAATTGAGATACTCGGGGATAATATAAAATGAGCGATCTAACTACTTTTTGTTTCCACACGCTACTAGCTGTACTAGCTGCCATCCTTCCTTTATTCCACTTCTGTGTTCAGACTAATTTTAAATTTACGTTTTCGTTATACCCATTAAATCTAGCTACTTCTATGATAACCCTCAGTTCTTTATCAAAATTTACCTTTTTAAATGGTATTTTTAGGGTTGTTTTTTTCGGTCGAGGTATCAGCATATAATAATAATATCTATATAATATATATATATATATAACTAAAACACAAATTATTAATACGTAGGCATATATTTAAATTTTTATATTATGAATTTTTTTATTATTTAATAATTAAAGATTTAAATTTATTAATATTAGTATAATTGTAAAAATCAGCATTAGCCTTATTACCTACTAACATTAAAATATTAATTGGGGAGGACTCTAATATTTTTTTATATATATTTTTTATGTAGAACAAATTTTAAACTCGCGTGTTAGTTGTAGGCACTTTACATTGTAAACGCTCAAGAAGAAATGAACAATCAATGTGTGCCAACAATAAGTTTATATAAAAATACTAAATTTTGAGTGTTCTTTCTATATTCTAGAGTAGTAATATTAAAAAATCCTTAGACTCCATCGTAACCAGAAAGTATCCTTTCAATCCGGCTTTTAAACAATTAGTATCTAAAAAAATTGTTTTGTATTGACTCTAAATCATTTACTTGAGTAATATGTTTAGCGTTGATAATTGTAACATTGTCCCCGAAACACTTATTCGCGATTTGTTAGTAATTTTTTTTGTGTCTTATAGAGTTAAATATTTTTATTATAGATTAAATTTTAAATATTATAATGAAATTTATCATGTGAATGTATATAAATTCATTTTATATTAGTTTTTTCCAGGGTTCAAAATTGCTATCTAGCTGATTTTCCAATAACAATCGGCATATTAATGTATATATCTTCTTCTTCTTCCCTGCCTTAATCCCAACTACTTGGCCGACCCCAATATCATTAGTGATATGTTAACATAAGAGTGCCAAAATTGTAATACAAATTTAAAACTTTTGTCACTAATATCAAAGATATTATATAAATATGTATAGAAATAAATCTATTTGTTAAAAATTTTCACTACATTTACAGTCAAATTTTCACAATTATTGTAAGATTGTATTTATACTCAAAATTAATATTTTTGCATATTTATATACACATTGAGTATAAATTAATTTTATAATTTATACATTTTTAATGTATTAGCAGTTTTTCAAGAAATTATAACAGTTTTCCTCCTCATCTTCTTCTTCTTCCTCGTCTTAATCCCAATTACTTGGGGTCGGCCACCCTTATCCTAAACTTCCACGTGACACGATCTCCCACATCCTCTACGCTCACATCAGCTGTCCTCATATCGCTTCAATAACACCTCTCCATCTTATTTCTGGACTTCCTCTAACTCTTCTTCCTTCAACATTCATTTCTATAACTGTTTGACACGGCACCGTCTTTTGCTCTAGGCTGGCGCTCACCCGTGTCTCTCTCGATATCAGCCGTCCAACTATTAATATGACAATCGGTTGTCTCCCCGCTCTTAACACCGAGATGAGGCCGAATATGGATACGGATATTGCGGTCTGTTTCGTTTCCGACGTTAATCCAGACTGGTTGTTGCGTTTGATTCTTTTCTGTTGCGATTGTATTTTACTATTCTTATTACGATTAACTTGTGTCGAACCAACGAGGAATATATATAAATATAACTTGTACAACGGTATAATTTAACTAAATAAATATATACAGGCGTATAGTTATACCTATAGATATCCTTTATATATACTTTTTATAGAAAAATTGTATACCAACAAAAAAGTCCATATAAACTTTTTTGCAAAAGCTATAGTTTTTGAGATAAACAAAAAAATCACCCTTGAGGGGTTATTTTTAACCCTCTTGGGATACGTCTTAGAGTTGACCAATCGTCTCCAAATTTTGTACAATTTATTTTTTCATGTATTCGAATAATTCTAGGGGGTGGCACTTTGTAATTTTTAAATTTTATAAATAAGGGGCACCCTAATATATATATATATATTTTGTTATTTTTTCTTTTCGCGGTATTCACCCATACATTGGGTACGCGTCACATTTTCTTTTAATAGAAATAGTACGTTATTACTAAATCATAAATCTCAATATTTCTTAAATTTAATTCATCGCTGGGTACGTCTTTTACTTGTTGTGCGCGCTCAACCGTATTCTGGATACGCGTCATGTTCTTACATATTAATGTATAATTATAATAAAATAAAATTTAAAATAGATTCATTTTGGCCGATTTTTATGAACGATATTTTCATTTATGTATAACCGATTCACTTTTGAAAATAGCCCATTTCTATCATACTATCATAGTGATATCTAGAATGCTACGGTATTATCACAGATTATATGAGATATAATTTACTATGTTTGTCAAAATGTCAAATAAAACGCGGGCATTTTATCAAAAAATTAAATGTGAACAACAACATAACCTAAAATATAAAAATGTTGCTGTATTAATTTTTAAGTAATAAATTCTCTTGTGATCTTGGTAGTTTTTTTAATGCTATTCAAATTTCTGTTATTTAGCCTGTTTGTAAAACAAATTAAGTTTAAAATGTTGTATAAAGTTTTATGACTTATTTAAACATTTATTTAAGATAAATTTAGTAAATATGAGTAATGTTTAGATATATTTTTGTAACTGCTCATTGATATATTTAGTTTTTAATAATATTTTTATAAATCTTGAACTGATCTACTATGGATGATTTTGGTGCCGAGTTATTTGACGAGTTTGAAAAACCATCTGTCAGCTCTATCACACTGATACCACAAAAAATTGATGAAATCCAACAAGAAACAACTGAAAAGTATGCAATGGTTTTTATTTTTACCCCTAAATCAATTAATCAAGTTCTTATATTCATTTTAAGTTCTTCGAAAAGAGCATTGCAACTTTCTGATGATGAAGAAGATAGTTCAAAAAAACCAAAAAACCCAGATGAACTTTTTTTTTCACAGAAGTAAGGATATAATAAATTAAAATGAAATAGAAAATTAAAAAAAAAATACCACCTAAAAAGATAATTAATTGTCTCTCTGTAATACCTTTCAGTTAAGTTTAATATAAAAAATAGTTGTGTATATTTATATTTATTGTAATAAGAAAAAATAGTTCTTAATAAGTTTTTTCCTCTTCTATTGACATTGTAAACGTGAAGGAGGTATAATATTTTTGATACCAGTTAAAATATCTGATATCTAACATTTATGATTACTAGTAATTTAAAAATTACTAGGAATTCTAGTAATTACTATTTAATTTTAATAATTATAAGTTAAGTCCTTTCTTTAATCCAACTATATATTTTTACCTGTGTAGCTTTTTTTAGATATACATATATTCAAATAATTGAAAAAATAAATGTTCCTATTACATGTTATTTTTTTGAAAAAATTTAAATTGATCCATGAATGGTTCATAAAATTAAGTTAACCCTATTTTTTCTATTACCAAAATATAAAAATATTTTGATTTTCCAATGATATTATGTTATTTATTAATTGAACAAATAAAAATAATTAATAATGTTTTATCCTTATTTGATAATTCATACAATAGGGAACTACAGTTTTGTATTTCTTTAGTCAAAAATGTGTAGTATCATCTAAACAAATATTATTTTGTTATAACAATAAAAAAAGTGTGTCATGCTTGTCTTATAGCTCATTTACATTTACATAAACACGCAGCTTATCTAAAAAAAAGTAAGATAAACTATAATGAATTAGATAATTTATGTATTATACTTAATATTAATCAATTAAACAAAACATTTTTATGTAATAAAAAATTTACCTAGTGGTTAATTTTTAGATTAGTCTATTTAAAGTTTTATTTGTTCTAAAAAAAGTTTATAAGTTAAGTATAATATATATAGAACTTTAGATGTTTATTTAACATGTAGATATACACCTTGTATAATTAAAAAATTGCTCTCTCTTAATTTTTGTTCTATATACCAAACCCTGTATTTTGTATTTTCATTGAAATTTAAAATATTTAAGAATTATTTGAAATTGTTATATTTTATTTATACTAGTCATTTTGGTAGTTTATATATTTTAATACCAGTATTGTTAATAATTTTCTGGTTTAAAATTTTATTAAAATTTCTTAAGAAATCTCCTCTTAAAAAATAAGGTTCATTTAACAAGCAATTAGTTGATTTACGCTTAGTTGGTTTAAATTGTAAGCATTTTGACACTATATCTATTAAATCATTAGGCCATTCTGAATATTTATTCCTTAGTGCTTGGCCAACATTTGAATATGTGAAGGAATTAGAATAACCAAGTGATATATTTGTATTTAATTTCTGTATTTTATTGCTAAAATACTTCTGATCTTGTACTGCCACTCCAAATGTTTTTATAATAGATCTATATTGGTTAATTGACGTTTTTCCAGTAATTATTGGTTGTCCATTCATTATTTCAGTAAACACTATGCCTATGTTAAATTAATTACATATGTCATAGTTATAACATTTATATTTTTAAAAAAATTACCAATGGACCAAATATCTATTTCAGTGCCATATTTTTTTACACCAAGTAACATTTCAGGTGCTTGATACCATAGAGTTCCCATTCCAGGCGTCAAGTATAATTCAGCATTCAAAAGTTTTCCACATATAACCTTTGAAATTCCTAGATCACAAATTTTTACTAGGCCATTTCTAGTTAATAGAATATTCTCAGGTTTTATATCTCTATGAATTACATTAAGCTTATGCATATAATTAATTCCTCTTATAACCTATTTATGGTTTTAAATATTATTAATTCATATGTGTAATCATAATAATTTCTTACTTGAATCATATACTCCTTAGTTAAATCATAACCCATTCCATTAGAATAATATTTCTGAATGTATTCATACATATTATATTCCATGTAGGGAAATACTATGTATATTAAATGTTGATAACGAAATATATTTAAAATATTAATTAAATGTAAATGGTTATTAAATTTATTCAGTATAGTAATTTCTCGTAAGACTTCTGGTATTGTGAAATAAGAAGTTGTTATTTTCTTTATGGCAACAATTTCATTTGTTTTTTTATCTTTACATTTCATAACAACTCCATAAGATCCTCGACCAACTAATTCTATAGCATCATATCTTTTGATTTCTAATATTTTATTTTTTTTTGTATGAAACTGCATTTTTGCTTTTACTCTCCATTCACAGCTTTACATTGTACAAACTTTTGAAATCTATGTTATTGAATTCTTTATTTATTTATTTGTTATTGATTACCATAGAAATTAATATTTGTTAATAATAATGCTATTGTTGTTATTTTTTTTTATGAATTGAAAGCTGTAGGGTTGATATTTGTTTCGAAATGTCTCCATGGTAGTTAAGTTGGAGTTTCTTTGATTATATTTTTTTAATTAATGTTGTTCATCTTATAGTAGTTGATTATTTTTTTTCTCAAGAGAATTTTAAAAGATGATGAAGATTCATATGCATTATTTTATCTTCTGTTAAAAATATTTTTGTATATGGTACTTTTGGCATTGGTAGCAATTTTAGTTAAATATTTTAATCCTAAATTTTTTGTTGTTTTTCTAAAGATATTTCATCTGTGATATGGAGCAAACTTTTAATTGTTGAGCTCTTAAAAACATCTGTAAAGAATCTGAGGTTATTATTCTGAATGGGTTCTAACTTTTTGAGAATAGTTTTTTCTGTACTTCTGAATACTTTTGTTTTATAGTCCATTTTTGTATTTTGTATGTATTGTGTAAGATATTGCTTTCAACTCCCTATTTGTTATTGGTTAGAATTTGCATTATATGGGTTTCTTTAGTAATATTCTATTTGATTATTGTGATTTGATTGTTCCAGTTTAATATTTTGATAAAGTTGACATTAGGTATTAGGTATATATTTGCGAGTTTAATGTATGTTTGTTGTTAGAAACACTTTTTATAAAAATGTTGAATTCAATATTGACTAATAAAAATTTTTTTTACTATCCTTCTATTTTTTAAGCGTTAAAAGATAAAATTATTGTCTTAACTTTTATTATCAAAAAAAAATTTTTTTTTATTTATTTTATATTATTATTTTTTAGCTTTGAGTTGTCTGTTCCGAGAATCAAAATTTTTGCTGTAGAATCTCTGGATGGAGAATCTTGCATACATGAAATTGCAATTCCTCCAAATTTTGAATACTTACCTTTAGATCGTAACACTAATAAACCTCCAGCTAAAGTGTATGAATTTGAGTTGGATCCTTTCCAAAAAGAAGCTATTGCTTGTATTGAAGGTAACCAAACAGTCCTTGTTTCGGCACACACTTCAGCTGGCAAAACTGTAGTAGCTGAGTATGTATTTAATAGTATAACCTACTTATCATTCAAAGTGCATATAGTTGAAAATATTAAAAGCTTATAATGACAATAAGTTTGTGTTTTACAATATGCTTACTAGTGAATTTGTATTTTTACAGGTACAGTATTGCTTTGTCATTAAGAGAATCAAAACGTGTAATATATACTACACCAATAAAAGCATTGAGTAATCAGAAATATCGAGAATTTCATGAAGAATTTGGAGATGTTGGTTTAATTACTGGTGATGTTACTATAAATCCATCCGCAAGTTGTTTAATTATGACCACTGAGGTAGATATATTTTGTTTAATTATTCTTGATATTTAAATGTATATTAAATATATGTAAATGTATTGTAAATTTCAAAATTTTTAGATTTTGCGATGTATGTTATATCGAGGGTCAGAAGTTCTGAAGGAAGTAGGATGGGTGATTTTTGATGAAATTCATTATATGAGAGATAAAGAACGAGGCTATGTTTGGGAAGAAACATTGATTTTATTACCTGACAATGTTCGTATGGTTTTCTTATCAGCTACAATTCCAAATGCTAGACAGTTTGCTGAATGGGTAGCTCATTTACACAATCAACCATGCCATGTTGTGTATACAGAGTATAGACCTACTCCATTACAACATTACATTTATCCAACAGGAGGGGATGGATTACATTTAATTGTTGATGAACATGTATGTAATTATAAGAGGATAATAGATGTGTTAATTTATATTATGCCTTATTTTATTTAGAATAAATTTCGTGAGGATAATTTTGCTACAGCAATGAATGTTCTAACAGCTAATACACAACCAATAAAAAATTATGGACAACCAAATAGACCAACAGTGAACAATCCAGAAAATGAATCTCATTGCTTTAAATTAGTTAGAATGATAATGGAGCGCAACTTTGCCCCAGTAATTGTGTTTTCATTCAGTAAAAAAGATTGTGAATTATATGCAATGCAAATGGCCAAGTTAGATTTTACATCAGGTTGATTATAATTTTTATTATTTAATATCCTTCATTTATTATCTTTATAAATAGTATCAGTAAACTTTTTATTTTTACTATACCAAGAAATTGTGAATACCAAATAATTAAAATGATTTTTATTAGAAAATGTTTTTAAATTATTCTATTAGCCATAGTAATTCAAAAAATGATGCAACAGAATGTAATAGTATTTTTAAAGCTCAAAAATATATGTATTATTTTCAAACAATAAAATTTAACACAAAGCATTTTATTATAAAACATTCATTTTTTTTCACTTTTAAAAATTTTTAAATGACATGAATAGAGAGTAAATTTATGCATTTTGTTTGAGCTTTTTTAAAAAATTAGGGGGTAATTTTGTATTTTCATAATAGCTTCTAATTTAATTTTTAAATAAATAATGTTAAATGTTTTTGATTTCTAAAAAATAACTTTAACCAATATTCAATTAAAATAAAATATTATTGTGAGAAGTAATTTATGATAAATAAATGTATTATAGCATCATTTATACATTATTTATTATATTTCTTTAGATGTAGAAAAAGAACTGATTGACAAATTATTTGAAAATGCTACTAAAGTATTAAGTGAAGATGATCGTAAATTACCAGCTGTAATAAATATCGTTCCTTTAATACGGAGAGGTATTGGAATCCATCATGGAGGTAATAGTTATGCTGATAATTTAATATACAGAGTGTTTAAAAAGTAATGAATCAGGTTAATTGTTACAAACAATGAGAATAATAGAAACCTATTTTCTTACTTACTAAACACTCTATATTTGATTTAACTAATTTTGTCCTTAGGTCTTTTGCCTATACTGAAAGAAACTATTGAAATTCTATTTGGTGAAGGACTATTAAAAGTTCTTTTTGCAACTGAAACATTTGCTATGGGTTTAAACATGCCAGCTAGAACAGTATTATTCACAGCTTGTCGAAAATTTGATGGAAAAGAACGAAGATTTGTAAGTATTTTAATATAAAATGTTTTTTGGAAAATTATATAAAATAATTTTATTTATTTTTCATTTTCTTCCAAGTCTTAAAAATATAACTCAGTTGTTGCATTTGCACATTTTTTTTATGAACTTTTAGATTTATTGCTTTGTTAACTACAAATTCATTTTAAAACACATATCAAATGTTTATAGTGTATATTTTATAATATATAATTATTCAATTAAGAAATTATTAAATAAAAATATTAATGCATTAGTATTGATAGTTCTTGTTAGATATTTTGATATTGTATTTTTTAATTTTTATTGTTTAAAAACAATGATTTAAGCATGCTTATTAATATGTATTCACATATCCTTTTTTCATTTAATTTTGTGATATTATAATTATTTCTCTTTGTTAATTTGCAGCTTGTCATTTCCTTAAATTCACTTTCATCCAATATTCAATCAGTAAGTGATCAAAATCTGATTTGAATCTTCATAAAGTTCTTATATTCCTTGTTAGTTCTTAAGAATGTAAAAGATATTCTTTGGTTGATATCCTTAAACTCTCTAATTGCATTTGTGATAGATTCATGTACTGCAAAATCTATTTATAGTTGTTAATTTTGTTCACAATTGCTACTGAAGATTGTTGTTTTCAATATTTTGGACATTTTAGAGCAATCCTCACTTCTTGTAGTGCTACGCAGATTTTATATCTCTACTTTCTTAACTAAATATGTAACCACACCTGGTTTATACAGAATCCATATATTCCAAGTATCAATAAAAAAATCCAATTTTCTTATTCTAGTTTTTTTTTTCTTTTAATGACGATGACTGGGCCTACACTCATATCAATTAATATTCCCCTGCTTGAAGTAGCAACATTATATGAAAAAATAAATTGCAAATAAATACTTGTTAAGTTAATTTAGTACATAAAATTTATCATTGTAAAATCACAAATATTGCTATAATTTAGTATAAATTAAAAAATTAAAAATGTGTTTTTCTTTTATAGATAACATCTGGAGAGTATATACAGATGTCTGGTAGAGCAGGTAGACGAGGTTTGGATGATAAAGGAATAGTAATGTTGATAATAGATGAAAAAGTTAGTCCAGATACTGTTAGGAATATTGTGCAAGGAAAACCAGATCCTATAAATTCAGCATTTCATTTGACGTATAATATGGTTTTAAACTTAATGCGTGTTGAAGAAATTAACCCAGAATATATGTTAGAAAGAAGTTTTTTTCAGTTTCAAAATCAAGCAGCCATACCAGAACTTGCCGACAGTTAGTTTAAATTTATATCTAACACCAATTAAGTAAATTATTGTAATTTAGTATGGCAATATAACATTCTTTTTTTTTTCGACTCCTAAAATTCATTATAGAATTAAAAAAAAATCTCAATAAAAAACTTTCTATATTATGATATTAACTATAGTTTTTTATTATATCGGAAATCATTATAAATTATTCAGTAATGATTAAAATAACTTAAATTTTATGCTATTTTAATTTCTTTTTAATACTTCAATTTTATATTTACTGTTTCGCAATGTTAATATTTATCAATTGAATATTTCATATACCTGAGAAAGCTTTAAAATATCTTATTCATTGTGTTCTTGTAATTTATAGAAGTTAAACAATTATCTGATGAAAAAAGTAAGATAATTGTCAAAAATGAATATGATGTTCGATCATATTTTCTCATTCGCCAGCAACTAGAAACATTAGCTGAAGAATATCACAAATTTATCACTAGTCCCAAAAATCTTATACCATTTTGTAATCCTGGGAGACTTGTAAAAGTAATTTTTAAATATTATTTACTTCAGTGATTATATTTTCTTAATTTCACCTTTCTGACATAATTTCAGGTAAAACGTATTGATATTGATTTTGATTGGGGTGTAATAGTAAATTTTAAGACTGTTATGAAGAGCAAACATGAAGGTGGTGGTATATCAGAAGCAATATTGAGTGTGCTTTTGAATTTAGAAAAATCAATTGACAAAAGTGAAGATGAACCAGTACCTTGTCCACCGGGGAAGTTGGGAGAACCTGAAATAGTTCCAGTTAAACACACTATGATACAAGAAATAAGTTCATTACGATTAAATAAAATGCCAAATGATTTAAGATCACGTGATTCAAGAATGTCTTTGTATAAAAATGTTAAAGTAAGTTTCAACAATTTTTTAGAATATTTTTTTAGGGATGAATGTTTTCTAACTATATCTTAAACAATATTTATAAAAGTATAGGGTAAAATATAATTTTTTCTATTCAAAAGTTATTAGTATTTTACCCATTTTAATTAATACAAAAAAATATAGTTCTTTAAAATTGTATTGAATTTAACTTACTAACTTTAGAATTTAGTTTTCTTAACTAAATTAACTTCATAATTGGCTAACAAATAAGCAAATGACAGTTCATTAACAACTTTAAAGCCAGTATTCCGGAAGTTATTAACACTTAGCAGATGAAAGTGTAACAACGGTGTATTTATTTTTATATCCTATCATTTTTGAATCACATTTCTCCTCCAAATAATTTTACTTGCTAATTAATTTCTTTGGAATATTAATAACTCCTGAGAAGAAAAAAGATATATTTAAGGATATTACATGAAACTCTTTATACTGGGTATGTGGCATATATCATAATATATATATATATATATATTATGACTTTTGCTTGTAAATATCACCATTGTCAAAATAAATTATTCTTGGTTGTACTTACAACTTTAAAATTGAAGATCATGACCTGTTCAAAATTTATTTAAGTATTTAATATTTTTTAATTAGGAAGTTCTTCAAAGATGCCAGACTGATGTCCCTGTATTAGATCCCATTAACGATATGAAAATAAAAGATCCAGAGTTTGATACAATAGTTGAACAAATTGAAAAATTTGAAAGTAGACTTTTTGCTCATCCTTTACATGAAAAGGAAGACATAGATGAACTTTATGCTCAGTATTTAGAAAAAGATAAAGTAAGAGTTAATATTTAATTAAAACAAAGTATTTTTCATCTATTTATTAAATTTTGTAATTTATTTAGATAGATCGTGAACTCTTGAAAGCAAAATCAGAATTGAAAAAAGCAATGTCGTTAATGCAAATGGATGATCTGAAATGTCGTAAACGTATTCTGAGACGTATGGGTTATTGTACTGCTGCTGAAGTAATAGAAACTAAAGGAAGAATTGCATGTGAACTTAGCAGGTACTTATTTTTCTTTAAGAAACTATAAATCTTAATAAAATATTTTTAATTAATCTTTAGTGCTGATGAATTATTAATGACTGAATTAATATTTAATGGTGTATTTAATGAGTTGTCTGTTCCTCAATCTGTAGCTTTACTCAGTTGTTTTGTATGTGATGAAAAAAGTAATGAAATGCCTGCAAAATCTGCAGAACTTGCTGGTCCTTTAAGAAAAATGCAGGTAAATAGTCTTTAAAATTAGTTATAACATAAATTATAATTTTAAACAAATAGTAATAAATAAATAAAATTTAAATACATTTTATTTAAATTTTACTGTTATTAGATACAGTTTGTTATAATTATTATATTTTGTGTATGATATGTAAATTATAAATACAAACCTATAAATCTAATAAATAGAATTAATGTTGATGAACACAGTAATATTTAATATTAGGAGTAGTATTTAAAATGTATTAATTTATAGTTTTCAAAATTATTTTAATTTTTGTTTACTTTTTCTTTCATCAATTTATTGAGCAAAACATGTTGATGTTTGATATTAACCTGTCTTATTATTCAGTTAATCAAAATAACTTTTTTTTTTTTTTCATAAAACTCAAACTTTATTAATTTTTAAACATCCTATTTAGTACATAGATTTTTTATCATTCAGATGATACAGTTTTTCAATATTCTATTAACAAATAAAAATTTAGTATTTTGAATTATCTATGAAACACTTTAAAATGACTAACCTTTTTTTTTTAATTTAATGTATAATAATTGTAGTTGATAACATTTATTTATTGTGGCTTTAAATAAAAATTTATATATATATATATAGGAACTCGCAAGAAAAATAGCTAAAGTGTGTAAGGAAGCCAAATTAGAAATTGATGAAGATGCTTATGTTGAGGGTTTTAAACCATTTTTGATGGATGTCTGTTATGAGTGGTGTCGAGGTGCTTCATTTTATCAGATTTGTCAAATGACTGATATATTTGAAGGTAAATATTAACAAATTTGTTTTTCTATTAACAGTTTTTAAAATTATATTACATAAATTATAGGAAGTATTATAAGAGCAATGAGACGATTAGAAGAAATTTTGAGACAGCTAATTCAAGCATCTAAAAGCATTGGAAATACTGATTTAGAAATTAAATTTAGTGAGGCAATTAAAATTGTTAAAAGAGATATTGTATTTGCTGCTAGTCTTTACTTATAAAACTTAACTGTTTTAAAATATTAACTTTAACTTTTTAATTAAATGACAACTTATTTTGTATTGTTAACGATATTATACTAATCTAATTTCATTTATCAAATTCAAAATAACTATTACATTTTATAGTTAAAATGTAAATGTTATTATTATTATTTTTTCATTGACAATTGAATGGCTGGGTGCAAGAACATGCATTTTTGCATTTCTATATTTTTTGTGATAACATAAAAATACCTTTATTGCACAGAACGCATATTTATTTTTAATTTCCTCCAATTATTTAGGTAACATACAATTATTATTGTTATTTGTTGCCAATGTTTAAGTTGCTTTGTATTACGTTTCACAACATATTTTCATATTTTAAAACTGTTGAAATTATTTTTAACTTGAAACTATTTTTTATCTATATATGTATTAAGTAAAAATTGAGTACCAGTCAGTTAAAATATATAAAGCAATGGTTGAAAAGTGAGAAGTGTATTATATTAATGTTATTTTATTATAATATTGTTTTTAACCCTTTAAATTAAAATAAAATAGGTAAACACTGATTGATGCAAGAAGGACATTTGCATCACCGAATATATTATTTCTTTATAGCTTTGTTAATAAATATAGAAACAACATAATAATATGATGATTTTCTTTAAGACTGATTCTTTTATTTAACGATAATATTATTAAAATATAGGCAGAACCAAAAAAGTGACTAAAATTTGTATCTTTAAACTCGTTTTTATAAAAATGTTTTTTTAGGATATGCCTTTTTGCACCCAGTTCATCAATTTATAGTTTAAAAAACAATTAAATAAAAAAAAATTTTCTAATATTAATTGATTTATTGTTAAAGTAGTTCATTCAATTATTTATAATACTTATTTATGCAATATAATGACCGTTGAAGATCTAGGTCTTAGTATATTTTCAATACTTAAAATTACACTGTGAGTATTAGTAATATTTTTTTAAATAAACAACTTCAAAGTTTTGACTTCCAATAAGAGTTACTTTGTGTATTATTTGTTTTTGGTATTTCAGCAAGATTACTTTATACGATTTCAAAAACAAGTAATTTTTCTAGGCTCTTCCTACAATAAATCCAAAATTTATTTTTATGATCTTCACGTTTACGGAAGTCTTAGATTATTAATAATTATAACACTTAAATCTTAAAATGTTAATAAGATAATTTTAAAGATTATTTATTCAGTGAACCAAGCTAAAACAAAATTTTTAAGTGTTACATTGCTTATCGTTCTCTGCTCAAACATATTTGCTTATACATTTTTAAGCTACATATTATGTAGCTTTTATATCACCTAAGGAACAGTGTCATAAATAGAATTTATCATGCCTGTTGGTAAAATAATTAAAAACAAATCTCCTTCTTTGTTGAATAGACAATATGGAAGAATTTGAAGAAACACGAGGGATCAGTGACATTTCTACACAGGTTGGGGGCGGTCCAAACCACCATAGATATAAAATCATGGTAGTGAAATATTCCACTACTCCATGTTATAAAAGCTATCTGACTCCCCTTCATCATACAAAATTTCTAAATACCAAAATGCAAAATGGCATGCTATTAGACTATATAGGTGTTCAGTAAGTAAGGTAACGGGTTTCTATTGTTCTCATCGTTTGTTAGAATTGATCTGTTTCCTTACTTTTTAAATTCTATATATTTTTTAAAAACGTGTTCAATACATAATAATAATAGTTAAAATTGTATTTCTTTACAAACCTATTGAAGTTATAGACTTGTGGTCCATTATCCATCATAAATTTTTACCGGTATTTCTGTGGTGCTCGGATAAAAGAGCTTAAGTATAAAAATTTGTATAAATACATTATAATATTTAAAAACAAATACTCTTTTTTGTGGTGTAAAGAGCTATGAAATTATTAATTTTAAACTTAAGGACTTTTACCCAAGCATCGCAGATTTAAAAAGAAAAGAAATTATGTTAGATCACTGAAATATTTTATTAAAACTGCGCTTATAATTATCACACGCGCAATTTAATTCAATTTTTAATAAATTTGTTTTTCTGGAAAATAAAAATTAATTAAAAAACGTATTAGATTCTAGAGTGTTTGATGTATTATTAACATTGAAAAGTTTACATCTAATTAATCATTAAAGTTTGTATTATTGTTAAGTATTTTCATTTTATTTTTAAAAAAGTTATCACTGCTAAAAAATTCAATTATTGCCAATCATTTCATTGGAAAGGTGGTGCTACTCCCCTAGTTACGCCATTGCACACGTATTTATGGTAACGGTATACATGGTTTAAATCTCTCTCCAATATTTAAAAAAATTACGAAAATAGGTGTGTGTATGGAACTTGAAATATTTAAGAATTCATTTGGCTCGTGATTTATTCATTTGTTTTAAGTTTTCTCACAAAAAGAAAATTCTTAATGAGAATGTTGGCGTTTTGCCAAGCTAAATAAGATAGATTTTTGTATGATAGTAATTCTCAAGAGACGGGCTGTTTATTCAGATGTTATATCGCTCGTATAATACCTAGCTATATGAGTCACTTAAAATAATAAAATAGTAATTTTTTATTTATTTATTTTTACTTTTGTAAGTTTTTTAAGTACAAAAGAATATAAGCAAGGCCGTCCCGAACCTAAAAATATGGGATGGTGAAAACTAAATTTTTGCTAATGAATTTTTTTTTATATTGTGTGACTTTTTAGCTTCGATGCGAAGCTGAGAAGGTATTGGTTTTACTATGATGTGTTTTTTTTTTTTTTTTTTTTGTCTGTTACCACTTTTTCTCAGCTCTCACCGAACGGATTTCTTTCAAAGATACGTCAAAAGATCACAAATCGTATCTAGTCGAAGACATTACCCTTCAAAATTGAAAAAATTTCCCTCGTTCCCCGTAAATGGGGGAAACCTCCAAAAAAATTACAAATTTAAAAATCGCTAATTTTCGAAATTTTTTCAATTTTTTTTACTAAAAACTGCCGTAACTTTTTCAAAAATGAACATATCAATATAATTTTTTTTTATATAGATGCTTGATGTCTTTACCTATCATTTGGTATATTTTTTTTGTAAATCTGACACTTAACCTGCCCACAGGGGGGGATTTAAAATGACAACTTTTTCACAAAAAATTAACTTTTTCAACTTAACTTTTGAAAATGTTCCGGAAGGTCTGACACTTTTATATATATCTTAAATTAAAGCTAATGTAATGTACTTTAATTTGAAAAAAAAAAATTTGACCTCTGGACTTGTCTTCATGGTGAAAACGGCTACCGAATGCTATTTTTGTGTGAAAATTTTCGATTTTATAATTTACATTTTTTACTTTAAAGTGCTATAACTTTTTAAAAAATGTATGGATCAATACAATTTTTTCATGAGAAGTAGTATTTATATACATCTTTCATTGGATATACTTTTTTTTTAAATCAGACTATTTCCCTATATATGGGGGGGCTTCAAATATAAAAAATGCATATAGAAAGTAGAACTTTTTCAACTTAACTTTTGAAAGTGTTCCGGAAGGTCTGACACTTTTATATATATCTTAAATTAAAGCTAATGTAATATACTTTAATTTGAAAAAAAAAAATTTGACCTCTGGACTTGTCTTCATGGTGAAAACGGCTACCGAATGCTATTTTTGTGTGAAAATTTTCGATTTTATAATTTACATTTTTTACTTTAAAGTGCTATAACTTTTTAAAAAATGTATGGATCAATACAATTTTTTCATGAGAAGTAGTATTTATATACATCTTTCATTGGATATACTTTTTTTTTAAATCAGACTATTTCCCTATATATGGGGGGGCTTCAAATATAAAAAATGCATATAGAAAGTAGAACTTTTTCAACTTAACTTTTGAAAGTGTTCCGGAAGGTCTGACACTTTTATATATATCTTAAATTAAAGCTAATGTAATATACTTTAATTTGAAAAAAAAAAATTTGACCTCTGGACTTGTCTTCATGGTGAAAACGGCTACCGAATGCTATTTTTGTGTGAAAATTTTCGATTTTATAATTTACATTTTTTACTTTAAAGTGCTATAACTTTTTAAAAAATGTATGGATCAATACAATTTTTTCATGAGAAGTAGTATTTATATACATCTTTCATTGGATATACTTTTTTTTTAAATCAGACTATTTCCCTATATATGGGGGGGCTTCAAATATAAAAAATGCATATAGAAAGTAGAACTTTTTCAACTTAACTTTTGAAAGTGTTCCGGAAGGTCTGACACTTTTATATATATCTTAAATTAAAGCTAATGTAATATACTTTAATTTGAAAAAAAAAAATTTGACCTCTGGACTTGTCTTCATGGCGAAAATGGCTACCGAATGCTTTTTTCGTGTGAAAATTCTCGATTTTATTATTTATATTATATTTAACTTTATAATGCTATAACTTATTGAAAAGTTTATGGATCCACACAATTTTTTTATGACAAATAATATTTTTTAATAAACCCTTTTTCATTCGACATACTTTACCTTAATCAGGATATTAATAAGGAACCAGCAGATCAAGTAGCTTTTGGAATAAAACACCAATTTTTTTTAAATTTAACACTATCTAAAGATTTGCATCGAAGCGTTTATTTTTGATAGTGATTTTAATCACTGTCAGATATCATTTACTTGATCCGACTATGCCACGTCACCACTGTGCCGCGACCCCCCTGTGCTGGGTTTTTTAATTCTTATGTTAAAAAATTGCCGACCAAGACAAATTAAATTTTGACAAGTAGTGAGTGTGACACCGTCCTCTTCGGTCGGCCCTGACTGTAAACGTCGAAACGCTGAAGTAGTTGCATTTAATTTCATTTTATTTGTGTAATTATTATTTGTATAGTATCCATAATAGCTGTCATGTTTATGAAAGCTGTTTGGTAAAAACATACAGGGTATTTGACACAACTATGATAAATGAAATAAATAACTTTTCATGAGCTCACTGGATTATTTTTACTTTATTAAATTAATTGTAAAAATTAACATAAAGGAATAATATAGAGGATAAATCTTATAAAAATAATTATGTGGAAATTACAAAACAAAAAAATTTTCTTTGACATATTCTCCCATAAAATAATCTATAAATGTCTTAAATTAATCATACTGTTTAATTTTTATCAAGGAAAATTATTATTTTTAATTTTTAACTTATCATTATTATGAATTCAAGTACAAATGTACAAAATTAGTTTTAGAAAATTATTAATTAAATAACATGCACTTGAATTATTGTGCGTTAAGATACACAGAAGAATTGATAAGGTTTTTGCTCCCAATTAAAAAATTCTGCATACACCTCTTAATTCAAGTAAAAGGTGCAGACAATTAATGGCTTATATTTAAAATAAGTTCTATCATATAATATTTCTTTAAAATTAAAAGGCTCTCAACAATATTAAAGAATATAATATTTCCAATAAAAAAATATTTTATTTCCCTAAAGGGTTCTAAGTAATTACATAGATTATTTTCATCAATATTTTACAGTTTCATATATTTTAAATTAAATTGGTAATTTAATTTGTTGCATTTAGTAAACATTTTGCGAAGTAAAAAATCAAATTATAGACTTCTCAGTTTAGGGCAAAAATTCATTATTTATTATAAGAGGTATTCTGATAGCATTGCTTTACTTTTAATGTTCAAATGCTTGTATTGTATTATTATATTTTACAAAAAGAAAAATGAAAATTTGAAATTAGAACACAAAAAATGAATATTAAATTCTTAAAAAAAATTAATAAAATCAAACGAATAAAAATTATTTTAGTTCACAAGTGAAAAAAAAATGAGTGGATCATAATTTATATCATTAGTCATTTTAAATTTATTCATTCTGTACATTTACAATTAATATAATATAAGAATTTCTACCCAGAGTTAAGTTTGTCGTCAATGCTACGCGGTGGAGGAAGTGTCGACTTATAGAAGGAGACCGGTATAAATAGTAATAGTGGGGTGTAATGCCACCGACCGGCGTCGTAATTTGGGCCAAGAGGAAAATGTCGTACCCGCTGTCCCCGGCCAAATCGAAGCGACATGAAGTGGGCGCCCATCTGTCTGCAGAATCAATACAATAAAAGGAAATTCTCTGTAGCGCTTATTATAAGCGCAGGCGTCAGGCGTCAGCGTATTACGCCGGTGCCGCTACACGCCAGATAATATACTTTTACTACGCGTATACTCACACGCTAAACCTCGTACAGCGTGTTACGCTATGGACGACTTCACCTCCGCCGCTTCCGACGACGTGTCGCTTAAGGACGACGTGTGTGACAATCACCATCGGTGTATTCTCCGATGCCGCCGTTACCATTAAAGTACCACCGGACTACACGAAATTTTTCTTAGCAAATCGTGTGCGAGTAACGTTTTGTGTTATAGTGTTTATTCATTGTCACCGATAATCCGCCATGTTATTTAGTGCTTCTCTTCAGCAGCCGTTCTCAGTAGCCATCAATACAGCCTTTGCGTTGTTAATGATTGTGGCTATGAGGCCGACGGTTTTGAGTAGTGTTCGCGCCCAAGCTGAGGATATACCTCACAATGAGTGAGTCTTATTCATTTAAAATATTATTAACAAGTCAGCAACTCTTTTAATATAACATTAAATGTTGTAAGGTGATATCGATAGTAAGGGTATTATTGTTATTAATTTTTCAAAATGTATGTATATATATATGTTTTTGTTTAGACCTATTTTTTAATAACAGACTAATGAAAAATAATTTTTAGTCAATTTCGTCCACTTAATTAAATTTAATTGGCAACACCAATGAGCGTTATAGTCTTCGAAATATGTCCAAATAATAAGTACATGTAATTTGAACATCACGGAAGTGTTGTATAATTGAAGAATTTTATTACTTGAACCTCCAATCCATGAAAATTATGCGAATTAGATATTATTTTTTCATTTAAAGGGAATGAGGGAAAATCATATCATAAAAGACAAAACCTATATTCTGCCACCGAAGAATAAGCATTAAGAAATGATAACAGCTGTGATTATATAACTGAAGTTTATTTAGATCTAATACTATTGAGATTAAGAATATTTTTGTATACAATTTTTTATGCTAAAATATTTTCTAATACATTACCTATAGGCTATAATAGCCTATAGGTTAATACAGTTAATCTTTAAGATGGAAACATTAGCTTTTTTGTAGCCCGGAGACAGACGTAAATAAAAATTGATTTAATAGAATAAGTTTAAAATTTACCAGCGACTATATTTTAAAAAGTGTGAAGTCGTTATTAAACTAAGAGAAATTTTAATTTGAAACTAAGTACACGTGTGAGTTCAGCGTTTTGGTACATAACATTTTATTGTTTATAATGACATTATAATACATAAACGTAGTGTTGCAATTGCAACACTACGTTATATGTTATAATTGCATTATACATTTAATCTTATATACGTCCATACCTAAATTATTCATAAGAAACATCATGGAAATGTGTTCACATATTTTGATTATCATATGAAAAAAATTATTGAAATATATTATCTATTTTATTAAAATACGTAATTTAAATAAGAAATTAAATATTCACTACTATTACAAACTTTTCTATGGATCAGAAATTAATTTGAAAACTGATAACCATACACGCTTATCAGTTTTAAAAAAAATGTTTTGCTAAATCAAACTTTTAGTTGTCGGAATAAATTTTATTTTTAACATGATTTTTAATAATATATTATTTTAATAAAATTTATAAATTTAATATTTTGTTTATACAAATTTTAATATGCTCATACTATTCTATATCAGGGGAAGTTGTTAGACACTGATCACTTTGTAAAAAATAAGTTTTTTAAATAAAATAAATAAATGATTTTTGGTATAAAACATTGTTCTTTATTTTTTTACTATCAAAAATTGAATGTGTTTAAGACATGATTTATACATTTTTAAATATTATAATTTTAAATACATACATTTTTTTTTTTTGAAATAATAGAATTCTTGAAACATTGTGTAGTAAAATAAAATAAAAACATCATAACTTTTGTGAGACAAAATGTATTTAAGGCAATAAAATATTTGTTAACTCAATTAAAAGATATAAATTAACTTCACTAGTATAAATATGTTTAACTATATTGTTATATTTTGATGAGTAAATAAACAATGATCATTTAAACTTTTTTCGACTATCTCTAGAAATTTATAATTTCAAAAATTTGAATGGTACTACGACTTTTAAACCACCTCCTGATGTGTGATCATACAGGAATGGTTTGACGGCCGGGGCATTTTTTAATTTTTCAGTATACCAAAATGTATTCATTTAAATTTATTGAACCTATTTAGTTATAAGATAATACAATTCAGTTTTCGGAACGTTCACTAAAAAATTTAATTCGTTCACGTTAACAATCGCGTTCATAACTTTTTTTTTATGAATAGCTTACCTGCAGTTAATATAATTATACATTAATAAAAACGAATTAATTTAGAAAAATTTAATTATATTTAGTAATTAAGAGTTATACCTTCAGTGGCGTAAAAGTGGGCATAAAAAAAAAAAACAACTGTATTTTTCATCATTTAAATATTTTAGTTTTAGGGAGATTTATACGCCAATCTCCTTTTTAATTACGTCTCGGCATACCATAAAATGAAATATTCCAATATTTCAATACATATCAATTGATATATTGATACATAATCAATATCAATTGATACATAAATGGTAAATCTTTCATAAGAATCAAATGTAGAGCACACCTACTATTGATAGATGATTTTTTTTATTATAATTATTAATTAAAGTGTGATGGTGTCACGTTTTCATAATCGTGAGAATTATTTTAATAAAATACAGACAGCACATCCGCTGCCTGAGACTGATGAATTAACAAATAATATTTATTGCCAAATCGGCAATAGTTCTAATTATTATAAAAACCCAATAGACCTGACAATCGTGGTCAGTCGACTCCAGTGCCTTGTGTCATTCATCAGTCTCAGTACTCGGTTGTCGCTGTCCGGCTTACTGTTTAAAGTAAAGTCTTTGTTTATTCCTTTTTCTAACCTATATACTCTTTTCCTTGACATTTTAGAGTACTTGTGTCTTGCACTTCGTCTGCACCTCGTACTCTGTTATCTTTCCTCACCTGGTACGCCTAGTATTTGTGTCTTGCACTTCGTCTGCACCTTATACTCGGCTACCCCGTTCTCTCTCTGAAGTACTTGTGTCTTGCACTTCGTCTGCACCTCGTACCTAGGTGTTACTCTTATTCTCCCTTCCTATAACAACAGCCTTTCGACACCCACAGCTAACCCGGAGTGTCAGCCGAGCACGGTGACTGCTGTACGACAACACGCACGTGAATACCTAGACAGCAGGCACCACCTCCTCATATTCATCTTCGTACACATAGTTACACATTTACACTTTTACATTCATCATTTTTACTGTGTTACGACAAAAGAATATAATTATAAATATATAAATCGATTGTAGTACAATTTCAATTGCTTAAGAGATTCTGAGTAAATTCTGATAATTTGCAGCAGATTTACAATGTACTAATGCTTTGTTCTACTCACCACGATATTTTTGGAAGTCCCAATGATTAAATTAACATTCGACAATTAAACATTACAGAACATTCAACACGTTTATACAGTACCTTATCACATTATGATAAGGTACTGTTGAGCTAAATGCTCTAAATATATATCCATTATATTATAACGCACACATTTTGTTACTTATTTCTATTTTATATAATTTCATATAAAATTAAGTATAAACTCAGTTGACACCAGTAATTAAAAATTATAATAACTTTAGTTAAGGATAAAAAGTTATAGTAATTTAAAGTCAAAGTGTAAAAAAATATACAAGTTTTGCAGATTTCTATAATTTTAATTTTATAGGGATTCCCACATTTATTAGGAATGAAGAGTATTTCTAGCATAATATCTTAATCTATTTAGAATTTGTTATTTATTGACGTACTGTTGATCTAAATCGGTATCTTTCTTAACCCCGATTAACTAAAAACCTTTTCTTTTGCTAACAAAATTTTTGTTAATTAGGCTATAAGTTTGTTTAAACAATGGTTATTAAGTGGATGTGTAAATTATTGTTATCAATTTATGTGATTCTTATTATAAAGGATACAACGCGGTTAATTGATAAACAGAGACATTTTGCTCTTATCATTACGTTTTTGCATTATAAAATTACATTTTTGACGGTTATTTTTAATTAATTTTATTAAGGACAAAAGGTAAGATATTTTTGATATTAAATATAAGAAATTACAAAAAATTAATTAAATACTTAATTTAATAATTAAAATGTATACAAATTAATACTTAATTATTTCCTATTCTAAAAAATGATGTTATAAATAATATACTTATTGACAGTAGTTGGAATATGCTACTTACAAAAGTATTTATATTTCTGCTACTATGGAAAAACATTTCAAATTCTATTTTGTTATATAAAATGTATGAACATTAAAAACAATATATATAAATATACAGGTTGGTCCACCACTCACTGACAACTTAAATAACTTTTGATTCAGTTAATATTTTTTTTTTAAATAATAGTTATACGTTAGGTCTAAAGCTATATCTCAATAATTCATTTTTTTACATTTTATTAAAAATATTAATTATTTTTAAATTTTAAATAAAATGTAAAAAAAAAATCTAAGATAGCTATTTTGTAGAGTAGAATTTAAGAAAAATTTTAGTAAAAAAATATCTTATTAATATTCAGTAGTAAATATTCTGTAGCGTTTTGAAGTTTGTGAAAATTTGAATTTTCATGTATTATTTTACGGTATTAAACATTGAAATACGTATTGAGAAAAGGACAGAAGAAAACGCTATCTTTTCATGATTACTGTGTATACATATGATGATAATGTGTATACATTACAAACTTGGCATTAATACCATGATAAGAAATTAGATAAGGCAATTATTACTTATCACTCTCATTCAAAAGTATATTGAAAAGATAGCGTTTTCTTCTGTCCTTTTCTCAATACGTATTTCAATGTTTAATACCGTAAAATAGTACATGAAAATTCAAATTTTCACAAACTTCAAAACGCTACAGAATATTTACTACTGAATATTAATAAGATATTTTTTTACTAAAATTTTTCTTAAATTCTACTCTACAAAATAGCTATCTTAGATTTTTTTTTTACATTTTATTTAAAATTTAAAAATAATTAATATTTTTAATAAAATGTAAAAAAATTAATTATTGAGATATAGCTATAGACCTAACGTATAACTATTATTTAAAAAAAAAATCAACTAAAAATATTAACGGAATCAAAAGTTATTTAAGTTGTCAGTGAGTGGTGGGCCACTCTGAATGGTATTCAGTAAGCCAGGAAACGGGTTTCTACCATTTTCATTGTTTGTAACAATTGATTTGTTTCCTTACTTTTTGAACACCTGTATATTAATTTTATGTACGAATAATATTAATCCAATATTTAAACAAAGAATGGGAACTAAATGAGGTATTTTAAAAATTATTTTAAAGTAT